AGGTGCGGCAGGGAGGCTCACCGCTTGCTGGGCCTCAACGTCGCCCCTGCTGCTGGGGCACGGGAGGCCGCTGCAGCACAGCCCAGAGCTGCCCCACAAGAAGAGGCTCCTGTCCCTGGCCCAGCACCCTCCTCCAGCCATCAGGAGCCACGACAGGCTGCGACAGGGCCCTCCGGCACCAGCCTACCTCAGCGGCCCCGGCGAGCCCCAAAGAGGAAGGCCAGCGACTGCCAGGCCTCGCCATCACCCAAGAAGAGGCCACCCCGCCGGCAGGAATAGACCAGGGGCAGAGCTGACGAGACCGGCGCCCGGCAGCAGCTGCGACGCACACCGGCCCCAATGGACCCTTGCCATCAGTGTCCAATTCCACCACGGAAATAAAGTAAAAAGAAAGACCGCAAAAATACGTGTTGGTGTTGCTAACAGCACAGGGCCTGTTGCTTCCCCGTCCTTGACGCTTTCTCTCCTTTCTCCTGCTGCCATGCCACTGCTGCGTTCCAGGCAGGAACCGCACGGGCTTTGCAGAGGGGAAGGGCAAATTTCTGCACCTACGGGGGGAACACCCCCAGAGCGCGCTACAGCTGGCGTCAGCCCAGGATGCCCTGGCAAATGGTGTCCGGGCCTGCATGGGGCCAGGTGCTGCCGGCACCTTGAAGGGTGCTTCTCCTGCCCTTCCACTGGCGTTAGACAGCTGGAGCAGACCTGGGAGTCCTGCTATGCATCATGCTGAACCAGCAGGGTGTCTTGAGACTGTGCCTTTTTCTTTTTACTTGCTTACTCTTTTACTCATAGCCATCTCGCCTACAGCATTAGAATAAGACCTTAAGTTTTGGACACTTTCTCATTTGATTTATTAGCTTCATTTTCATTTATATTGGATTCCATTGTATTATCTCTCATTCTGCTATCATGTTTAGTAAATTAGCTTCCTTTCTTTTCTCACTGCCACTGCTTTATTCCCCATCTAGGCCCACCTCCCCACCTTTTCCCTTCCCCCTTTCCTCTTTTCTTAGAGTATAGGACTGTGGGTCCCTTCATCCCATCACAGAACCAGTCCAAACTGCTTTAGATCAGAATACTACGTATTAAGTGAAGTTTCTTCAGCAAAACTGCCAGAAGTTTTTTCCATCCCTGAAGCTATAGTTCCAAACAGGAAGTCTTATTCTCAATACAGAGTGAGAGCTACCTTCCAACTGAAGAGTCGCCTTTGACTAGATTCTGAGTTATGTTTGTAGCCTATGTAATTTCATGAGCTACCAACAGTTCTTCTCTGCTTTTCTGCAGTAATAGCTTGCACATCAGATAGCTGCCTTTAATTGTGAAGTTGGAAAAAAATAAAAAAACCACCACCTGTTAGGCTTGTATGATTCAGTTCTCTCTCATAGCTACAGAACAGTTCCTTCATCAGAGAATAAATGAAACAAGCTATTATCCTGAACAGAAGCATTTTGGTCCAACTTTTCATCTCCATCCTATAAAGAGAATCTACTTTAAATGCCATTAAAGCAATTTGAAATGATTACTGAAAACTTTTTAAGAGTGAGGAACAGCGGAGAATTCCACCTACCTTGAAAACTTTTTTTACTTAGCATAACTGATTGCTCTATTTTCAAATCATCTCTAGGAATATGAAGGCCACAATCAAAACTGGTATTTCTAAAACCCTTCCTATTCCACTGCAATCCATTTGACATTTCACTCTGCCTAGGACATACAGTAAAGTACACGCCTTGGTTTTCAGAGTAGATAGCAAAAGAAAAATCTGCTAGAGACTGCTGTCAACATCTTCCAGAACGGATACATTATTTTAAGGATACCATGCTAGAAAGATTACAAATTAAGGAATTACTTATCAAAATTATGTTAAATTCAGAAGAATTTCTTCAGAGCTGGAGTTTACAGACAAATTATCAGACACAACATGAGAGCTCCCTATCTGGGTCTGTTCTGTTTCATACATGGAACTTAATAATAAACCAGGCTCAGAAACAAAATGGCAGGGGGAGAGTGGGAAGCTTTGGACTGCTTCTAGTAGAAGCTTTAGGAATTAACAATCACTCTCCATTCCTCATTCTTTGTTGAACCAATAAAGGAGGCATAAAGAATGGTCAAGAAATCATAGAACTACAATGCATGCAATACCCTTCTGAGCTTTGAATGCTGTGATTCAGCAGCATGCCTACATACATTGAGGCTTGCTGTATCATAAGAGCTAATTTTTAAAATACCCTCAGGTTTGCTGAAATCCGTATCATGCTAAATGTAATTACTCTCAAAGGAAAGACAACTAGAAGATATGTCAAAACTGCCAAGAGGATGGTAGGCAAATGCACGATATCCAACAGTACAATATGCAGCTAATTCGAATGGAAGTCACTTATCTTCTTGAAATCAAAAAGCTCCTTGATTATAAAAATACTAAAAAGTGCAAAAAATAGTCAATAATGTAAGAAGAAAAATCTTAAAACAAATATCTTCTCAGTAACACCAGTATAAAACCACTAAAAAAAATCCACATGTGCTGTAAGATCTGTTATCTTACATTGGTATAGGAAATACATTTCATTGGTATAGTATAAGTATAATCACACTGATAGGAAAAAGGATGCTTGGCACAACAGAGACACATGGAAAGACACATTTTTCAAACTTATTGGAACTTCTTGCACAAATGTTTTTTCACAATTTTTTTTTACAACCCTCAGATTGGAGAAAATAAAAAAGTATTTCCACAGCAACTATAACATCCCAAGAAGTTCTTATTTTCCTTGTAACATCCTAACTGGAAAACTGATCAGATAAGTGGACAGAGAGGTGGACTGAAAACTGGCCCAGCTGCTCAACATGCAGGGTTCTGATCAGCAGCACAAACTCCACCTGGAGGCCACTCACTAGCATCCAACCACAGGGCTTCACACACTGGGACCATCTTCCTTAAAGAAGCATGGCACAGACAACATCCTCACCAAGTCTACATGCAGTGCCATTCAAAGGGACCGGAGCAGGCCAGTAAAATGGGCTGACAACAAACTCAGGAAGTTCAACAGCAGGAAATGCAAAATCCTGCATGTGGGGAAGAATCAACTCATGTGCCAGGATGGGCTGGGGGATGACCACTGGGAAAGCAGCTTGGCTGAGAAGGACATAAGTTGTCCTGATGGACACAATCTTGTCTATTAGCCAGCCATTTACCATTGGGTCACAGACAACCAATAACACCTGGGACTGCAGTGGGGACTGCACTGCTAGCTGTCTCAAATTGACATTCCATTCCCTCCCTTTAGCAGTAGTGAGATCACACTCATGGTCCTGGCTTCAGTTCTAGGCTCCCCAGTAAAAGTCTGAATATGTCCCTGAGTAACCTGAACTTGACCCACTTGTTGATTGGTGGACGTTGGACTGAAAAATCTCCAGAAGTGCTCCTCAGCCTCAACTACTTCCTGATTCGATGGTTCTGTGAAATTCTCAGCCAACTCCAATAATTCATCATCACTGAAAACAGAATCATAGAAGCGCCTGGGTTGGAAGGACCTTTAAGATCATCTAGTTCCAACCTCCCTGCTACAGACAAGGATATCTCCCACTAGAGCAGGTTGCTCAAAGCCCCCCCCCCAGTCTGGCCTTGCATACTTTCAGGGAGAGGGCATCCACAACCTCACTGTGCAACTTGTTCTAGTGTTTCACCACCTTCACAGCAAAGAATTTCTTCCTAATATCTAGTCTAAATCTACCCTCTTCTAGTTTAAAGCCATTTCCTCTCATCCTGTTGCTATCTGCCCTTATGATAAGTTCTTCCCCAACTTTACTGTAGGCTCCTTCAGGTACTGGAAAATAGATGCTTTACAACAACATTAAAATTTTTCTTTGTTAGTCTCTTTTCCATAATTAGGACTTTCTTGTCAGGCTACCCACCATTTCTGACAGGTGGTTTTGTTAAGTACCTCAGTATGCAGAGGCTTTCAGCCTCTTTCCAGTCCCTCTCAGAAGGCAATCACTGGAGTTGGCTCTGAATTGTAATGCTCTATACATGCAAAAGACTTTCAATCAAAAAACGCTACCTCCTCGGAGCAGGAGGTAGAAGCAAAACTGGTTAGGAAGGGATGAAACACGATGGTGGTATGCCCACCAATGATCCTCTGTCCTGACGTGCTCTCTCAGATGAAAGTTAAGCCAATACTCAAACTGTACTAAAAGAATTAGCAAGTATCACAAATACACTAAGCCTGACTACAATTTAACATTCTTAGCCATGCCTGGAAGTTATATCCACCACACTCTTTACCTTGAAGTTTGCAGCAATTCAGAAAGCCTCTCTTCCTAAACCAGAATCTAACAACATGATTTCCAGCTTAACTAATGTTCTCTTAGGACACTGTTACATCAAGTTCCTAGCACTAGCAGAAGAGCAAAGAGCCTCTCTTACTTTGATGCTAAAAAAAAAAGTTTTTGTGTAATTGCAACAATGGGGACAACAACGTGGCTGAAATCATTAGATCCTCCAGGAAATATGATTCATTGTAATAAGAACAGCAGTTAGTTTTGACCCTCCTAAGATGCCTTACATCGACAAAGAGATTCCCTTCAATTGTGAACTTCATATAAATATACTGTGATGCTACCAAAGGTTTTGGAAGTCTAAAGATCCAGCCACAAAAAAAAAGCATCTTTCTGTTACTGTTATTAATCAACTCAGCTTATATATTTCAGTTTACAATCACCACAATAGTAGCTACAAACAGACCAAAGCCCCACATTATACATAGCTGATATTTCTGACAATTGTGCAGCTCTGCACTGAGGGTATCACGTTATCAAGCACATACTGTTCCCTGATTCTGAGACAGAAACGTTAATCAGAAACATTGTTAGAAACATAATAATTCTGAGAACTCAGTGAACTCTCCCACTCCATGACTTAGTTGCCACTTCACATTCCATAAACATTTCTTTTGAAAAATATTCCCCTCCCCGCCCCACAGCAGGGAGAACATTCAGCTTACCTGAAAATAGAAGAAAGCCTGGCCAAACCAGTAGTGCATTATGGTGATCTGTGCTGCATCAAATTTCAAAGGTCTCCAGATGTATTTTGTCATCATTGTCTGTATCAACAGACAAAATACCAAGACTGGTAAATTGTGTGGTCTAAATAGAAGGGCTGACAGTAGAACTAATCCACTATACACTTCCCATAGTCCTGTACTCTTCATACGGGAGTCTGCAGAAATAACCTGTGACTTCAGCAAATCTTTAGTGCCAGTGAAGACTATTCCAAGAACAAAGACATAAACAAAACGAGCTTCAGTAATCCCCCTAAAAAGAAAAGAAAATAATATATGTATCTGAAAAAGCAAACTAGAAGCATAAGTTACTCACTAGTATCAATTTCATAGGTCAAAAAAAGTCTTTTTCAAGAGAGATGCACAAAGTCTGTTCAGTTCCGCCAAACAGACCAAGTCCTAATGCTAGTAATAGTATGGGCCCTTTTGTTTTTGTTTAATCAGTTGGCTTTGTCAAATATGCAGAATTCTACAACTCATTCCCATTTAAATGACAACAACTTCCAACGAAAGTCAAGCTTCTGGAGAACAGGTACCTCATTCAAAAAAAATCTGCCAAAGGTAAGGACCAGTAGGTTTAAAAACTGGAATAAAATACTATGATTTTTTTTTTAATTTTAGAAAAAATAATACGTATTATGTACACATCCAAAATTTAGAATTCGTTATTCCCAGGAATTATTAAGATCTTTGTATATGAGTGGTGAATGAACACAGTCTTCTACAAAGGTAATACAGTTCACTCAGAAGTGAGAATTCTTGAGTCACCTGAACTTAAAAATACATTATCTTGTAAAGCATAAAGAATTGTTTCTTCATGGAACAGAATAGTAAAGTTCACAGAGTTCTTGTGTTTCTGGCTCACGCAGAAATTAATCGCCCTATTTCAGTATTTCCGTTAATTCTGATGTAATCATTACCAAAAAGTGTTCAAATGCATTCATGCAGCTTCATGGACTGACCTTTATCAGAGGGTGTAGCGAGAGGACAAGATGTAAGGGCTTTAAACTAAAAGAGGGTAGGTTTAGATCAGACATTAGAATAAATTATTTACAGTAACAGTGGTGAGGCAGTTGCATAGGCCGCCCAGGGAAGCTGTGGTGCCCCATCCCTGGAGGTGCTCAAGGCCACGTTGCATGGGGCCCTGGGCAGCTGAGCTGGTGGGAGGCAGCGCTGCTCACAGCAGGGGGTTGGAACTCGGTGGGCTTTATGGTCCTCTCCAACCCAAACTACTCCATGATTCTATAAACTCAGAAGCAAAATTTTAGGTAATTTTTGAATACTAGTCAACATTGAAAGGAGTTAAGTGAAAAAATGAGATTAACTGGTTCATGGAATTAAAACTAAAAAAGTTTTTTAGCAAGAGCACTACCCTCCACATCAATATGGCATATACACATCTTTTTTTATTGTACAAATCATCAGTATAAAAAAACTCTAAAAAATTGAAGGCCACATTATTTCCTTACATTTTTTAATTTAGAGGTTATCTAAGCTCAGGCCACAGAAGAAGGAATATTCTTCAATTGTCTAATCCATCTTCCAGCAAGTGTCACAGCAAGAGAAAACTCTTGTTTTAGGTAAAAGGGAAACAGATGGGACATCAGAACACTGATTCTGTCTTAAGTAAACAAGAATTAAAGATGCAGTAGCTACATACAGATGAAAAAGCATCTTACACAAAGCTATCCTTCTATCTGGATCTGTCTCCACTTTATGTCACACACATGATAAAGATACCTCCAGACAAATTTGAAGGACATTCCTGGTCATTTACCATATCAGCCATCTAATCAAGAAGAGTTTAAATTGCTATGCTAACATATCAGCTAACATTTGAAATGTGCTAACATGTCTGCTATCTTAATTGGCATGCTGTTCAGGAAGTTTTGCAAGAGCCACTGTGTTTAAAGAGTCAGTGATGCTGGACAAACAATGCTTCCTCTGTTAGGCCCTGTATTGCAGGCTTAAGAAGCCCATATCCTAGCATAACTAGCTCACAGGTAAAAAGTTCTGCTTCCTTCAGTAGGAATGGTTTGGGGTACATTTCATAACTGCAATGACCATTCTAATCAGAGATACTACTATTTCATTAAATGTACACGGTAAAAGAATATGTAAGGACCATCAAGCCCACCCTGAAAGCATCTTGTTTAAATAAGAATCATAGAAAATACAGACTACAGCGTACACCTGTCCCAAGATGTATAAAATGAGTGTCTGGAGTCTTGTAGGGTATTTGCACTCAGAAAGCACAAAGATATTTCAGTTAAGATAATAATAAAAAAAACCTCTCGTTATTTGCTCCCAGATAAACTGCCACTTCATTTCAAGCTGTGCTTTAAGTACAATACCACTATACCTGCCAATAAAGCTTTATTTTCTAAAGCTTTGTTTCATTAATCTTGAGAGCATCTTTTAAACCACTATATAATTGGAGATATATAAACATTTGACATGATTTAAGCACATTATCATATTCACTATTTAAGGTGAAACAATATAAAAGCCCTTTATCTTTCTTCTTGTAATTAAAATCACTACAGTGAGTACAGAACGAGAAAATTCTCAGAAAAGGCTTTTGTCTTAAGTACTCCACTTATTTCTCTAATTGCATTCCATTTGTAGCTCAATTGCTGTATTTAATGCTCTGTCCCATATTGCAGTTCTTTTTCACTGCAACTCCAAGGACCTTACTCAAGCACACAAATGAGGTTAAACCCAGAAATCACACATGCTTTCAAAAATACTTTCAATCACAGAGCAAAATTCTGCAGAATACAGTTTACCATCGCACCCATGAGTGCTGAAGGACCCAGCAGAATTGTTTACCGAACTACTCTTTATCATCTATGAAAGCTTCCAGAGAATGGGAGAGGTGTCTGTAGACTGGAGGAAAGCCAGTATCACCCCAGTTTTCAGAAAGGGCAAGGAGGACTCAGGAAACTACAGTCCAGTCAACCTCACCTCTGCTTCTGGGAAGGAAATGTAATAACTTATGTCATCTCTGAGCCAGTGGAGAAGGTTGTCAGCAGTAGTCAACAAGGGGAAATCATGTTTGATCAATCCTGTAGACTTCTATGACTAAGTAAGTAAGCAAGGGGGGAATGTCATATACCTTGACTTCAACAAGGCTTTTGACACTGTCTCCCATAACATCCTCATAAGTAAGGTCAGGAAGTGTGGTCAAGAGAACTGACTGGTAGAGCTCAGAAGGTTGTGATCAGTGGCGCAGAGTCTAGCTGGAAGCCTGTAAACAGCGGTGTTCTCCTCTAGCTACAGATCACAGAGCACTGGAACAAAATGCACAGAGAGACTATGCAGTTTCCTTTTCTTCAGATGATCAAAACCTACCTGGACACCTTCTTGTGTAACCCACTGTAGGGAACCCGTTTTAGCAGGAGGTTTTATGCTAGATGATACTCAGAGATCTCTTCCAACCACTACAATTCTGTGATTCTTCCATTACTTTCACACTTAGCAGAAATAACATACAATGTCAATGCTGGTACAGAATTCATAGAATCCTAGAATAATTCAGTTGGAAAAGACCTTAAAAATTATCGAGTCCAACCACAATCTAACCATACAACCCAACTAACAACCCTCTGCTAAATCATGCCCCTGAGCACCACATCCAAACGGTTTTTAAACACATCCAGGGATGGTGACTCAATCACTTCCCTGGGGAGCCTATTCCAATGCTTAACAATCTCTTCTATAAAGAAGTGTTTCCTGTTATCCAACCCAAACTTATCCTGGCACAACTTGAGGCCATTTCCCCTCATCCTGTCATCTGTCACCAGTAAGAAGAGATCAACCCTGCTCTCGCTGTAAGCACCTTTCAGATATTTGAAGAGATCAATAATGTCTCCTGTCAGCTTCTCTTCCCCAGACTAAACATTCCCAGTTCCTTCAGTCTCTCCTCATAGGCCATATTCTCCAAGCCCTTCACAAGCCTTGTTGCCTTTCTTTGGACCTGCTCCAGCACCTCAATGTCCTTTCTGTACTGAGGTGCCCAAAACTCAACAGAGTACTCAAGATGGGGCCTCACCAATGCCGAGTACAGAGGCAGGGTTACTTCCATAGTCCCGCTCACCACACCACTCCTGATACAAGCCAGGATGCCATTGGCTTTCTTGGCCACCTGGGCACACTGCTGGCTCATATTCAGCTGACTGTCCATCAGTACACCAAGGTCCCCTTCTGTCAGACAGATTTCCAGCCACTTTTCCCCAAGCCTGTAGGGTTGCCTGGGGTTGTCGTGACCGAAATGCAAGACCCAACATTTGGCCCTACTGAAACTCATACCTTGGCCTGTTGATCCAGTCTATCCAGACCCCTCTGTAGAGCCTTCCTCCCCTCAGGCAGACCAACACTCCCTCCCAACTTGGTGTCATCTGCAAACTTACTGAGGGTGCACTCAATCCCCTCATCAAGATCATTAATAAAAGTGTTAAATAGAAGTGGTCCCAGTACCAAGGTCTGGAGGACACCGCTCATGACTGACTGCCAACAGAATTTAACTCCATTGACTACAACTCTTTGGGTCCGGCCATCCAGCCAGTGTTTAACCCAGCAAAGTACACCCATCCAAACCTGGGCAGCTAGCTTCTCCATGAGGATCTGAGGGGGACAGTGTCAAAGGCTTTGTCCAGGTAGACCACATCGACAGCCTTACCTTCATCCACTAAGCAGGTAACCTTGTCACAGAATGAAATCAGGTTTGTCAATCAAGATCTAACATTAGAACTATCTTCAATATTTGGAAAGATTGACTGTATGTAAATGCATCTGTATGTATATGTATATATATATAAAAATGTGTGTGTGTATATATATATATAGACATAAATTCAGTTTATAAAGATGCCTTATTAGCAAATCTGATGTATGTGTCCTAAAATCTTTTCCTGCAGGACTTTTTCCCATCTGCATATCTTGTGAATTTCTGTCTTCTAATTAAAAAGCCCCAAAAGAAACCACTTATATCAAATTAAAAATGAGTGTGAAAGTTTACTGCATTTGTAAGACAGTAGTTATACTTGTCTTCCACGATCCTCCTCTTCTCATGCTCTTACTAACTCTGCAAGTTTTCCACAGCTCTGATATTTACAAGCCAGGTACAATCCAATGATAAAAAGCTCCATGAGAAAACTGAAGTCACTTAGCTACATTCCATAAGTAATCACTGGTAAAAACGCCAATAAATTCCTTACAATAAAGTGACTAGTTCTTTAAGAAATTTACATCCACATAAAAGTCCTCAGTACGCACTGTGCAGAACAATTCTGTTACAGTCATACATTACAAAAATATTCAACTGAGAAAGAAATGTATAGAAAAGCAACACTCTCAATTATTGTATAATCATTCTTCAAAACTAACAGCTAAACGAACTTGACATGTTCTCTGCTAAATGTGGCAAATCTATCTAAAACAAGAGGAGATGGTGTATTCGGAGCTTCTTTCTAGCAAAAATACAGGGAATGACTACTGGATTTTCCTCTGATTAGTTGCAGGACACTTCACAAGGCTTGAAATTACACATCACAAGAACTGTGTGTCAGCCACATACAAAATGCAGTTCTATTTGTAAGAATTTGATTACAGTCTAAACATAACATCCATCTCCACTTCATCCCGATACCGAAAGTGTTAATACCTTTCTAGAAATAGATTTACATATCTGTTGATTAACTTACTTTGAAATATCTTTGCTGTCATGTTGCCATGGAAATACGACATTTCCAATGGCTGCCCGGTAACTGTAGACTCCCAGGAGCCCAAGTGCCATAGCAATTTTTGAAACCAGTGAGCATCTTCTTTGAACCAGAACAAAGATCATAAGTAGGGAAACTGCAGCCAAGACGGAGAGTTCAGACTTATGCTCAGAACTGCAGAAAAAGAAACATACAAACATACAAACAAAAAACCTTCAAACTACTGTAATTACTGTGAAGCACATTTGACAGAGCCTTAGCTACAGTAGTCTATTGCCAAATTAATTATTGCACTGAGATATGTTATAAATTTTCCAAAAGGTATTGTAAAATACGTTAGTAGTTTCAAAAAACTGATTTTACTAATGAGGCTTCCTATTCAAGAATGCATGCTTCAGGAGGGATTGTGTTCCACCATATGCTAGCCATTCTCTTAATTATATAAAGACTAAGCTGCTTAATAGAGTAGAAGCTTTTAAACTTGAATTTTCTTATTTATGCATTTTGAAACAGTACATTTTGATTACACTACAGCATTTCGTTTCCTGAGATAAGGCATAAAAAATTCTTACATTATGAAATTAGTATTACTTTCCATTTCTAAATAACTGCACATGCATTTGTTTTGTTTAATTTTAGTCATATGAAGTACTACCTAACTGTAATGACCAGAAACATACCTACTTACTTTTAAAAATATGTACAAACAACACAATATGACTCTCTTACACAACTACACCCCCTTGCAGTGGATCAATACATACAAAGAATACAGACAGAACTTGCATCACTCTTGCCAAGAGTACCGATAGAGTCCCCTTCATCCTAAGTATCTATCAGTCATTACAGACCTAAAAGCATTTCATTAAGCATGCTGCTAAAAGCTGTATGTTTAAATCTATAGTGATATTACTTGGTACTGCAAAATCTAAGGGGGTAAGATAAAGATCTGCTCTTCATGCCTCCTACAGATAGATACAAAATTTTAGGAAAGCCTTTATAAACCAGGAGTTGCTAAAATTTGCCCACTGCAAGTATTCTCAACATCTCAAACAACTCAGAAACATTAATCTTATTAATTTATCTTTTTTTAAGAACATTATTCAGAGCATGATAACCACGTGTTCCATCTCTGTCTTCCACACTTCAAAATGTCACAATAAGAAATCATCAACTTCAGTAAAATGACACTAAGCCAGGGCTGCATTAACTCTGATCACACTTATGAAACACCAGTTTTACCTTTGATATAATTGGAATTACAGTACTTCCAATAGGTCTACCCTCCTATTTGATGGTACATGCTTTATCAGGATTTTAACCAATAATTGTGACAGCTATTGTGCTTCGAAATGTCACAGATGAAAGGAAACAGGGCAGAAAAATTGCCCTGTTAGCCTGCCCTGCAGGACCCAGTTCACAGAAGCACTTCATGGACGACTCCCAGGAGCTGCACTGCTCTCTGCAGAACAGTAGAGGGAAGTGACATGAACCAGAGCATTACAGGATATATTATGTGCCCTTGGTGTTTCTCCTCAATAGTATTTTTCTCCTACAGGAAGCGACTGAATAAGGAGTGAATGGATTCTTGCAGCATCCTGTGAAGATAGCGTATGCATAATTTCTTATCATCAGTACATAAAGAACTAATTCAGTAACCAGTACACCTTTTAAAATTCACCACAAACATTCATTTAAAAGAAAACCTTCAGGACATATCCTCCTTATTTACTGCATGACAGTGAGATAAATCAAATCAGGCAAATTATTAAGAATATTCCTACCTGAAAGATGTAATAAGCATGCTATATCCAGCAAGACTTTCAATAACATCTGCCATTCCCTACACTGAACACTGCAAATCATAGTCTACCGGGGAAATTTAAAAAAAGAAAAATAAAATAAAATAAAATCCTTAGGAAAGGCCCAGTGAAAAGGAAAGGTATTTTTAAATACATGAGCACATCAGTCACTAACGGCACATTCCTTACTGCTAGCACAGGGGTTTATATCCAGCCTGTGTCTAAATGTTTCATAGAGTCTGCTGAAGAAACAAATAAAACAGGATTTATAACAAGCTATGTTGAGTCACTATAGACCACCTACAGTTTCCACATTTACCAATCAAGGTTCTTCTAATTAGGCTGCTAAGCACACATTAAATTAGCATGTATTCTGAAAGAGAACTGTAGTTGCTCAACACAGAATTCAGCCATTTAGCAAACTTCTCAATATCAATCCAAGAAACCCATGCAGAAACATGCTGCTCTAGCTCAGCTGAAATTTAGTGGTGCTTGCCTAAGCCACACAATGGAAATCAAAGTGCCAAGAGTTTCATAATAGAAAGCCCAAATTAAAAAAGCAGCTTTGTTCTTATGCTCTTACTATCACAGCCGGTGGTCTACACTTTCGTACTTCTGGTGTCAGAGACATTTTCTTTGACTTGCTTCAACCTCACTTAATTCCTGCAAACTAATGGAGTGAAGGGAGTTGTAAATACTCAGATGAATCTCATTTTAAACCCTTTTTAACTGTTCACTTCCATACTGCTAGCATAGAACAAAATACAAACACGTTTCATTGCATGCTAATGTTCTGGAGGAGAGCACTTGGGGAATTAAGTACGTTATTTGAAGGAATTATCATCATCTTTACATGCTGCTGCTTCTCGTCAGTTCTCCACAAGCTGATGCTGCCACTGACTACTTCACCCCCTCCATAGTGAGCCCTGTAGCAGCTCTGACACCTTTCGAGTATGAGGTCTGACCAGGATTAAACATATGACCAAAGTTATCTGAATGCTACCTAATTGAAAAGAAAACCTTTTTACTATCAAATTCAAAATCTGCATGTTCTCTTTACTTCACCTACGGTCTATTTTTCCGATGCACTTATTCTCATTAAGGTGCATTTCTTCTTTCCAGCAGGTTTGCAGAATCTCTCCGCAAATATCAAAAAATATTTCCCTAACTCCTGCATTATTCAATGTATGCTGAACAGCTAAATTCAACATGTTACTGGTAAACTGATTTTTCTGTTTTGCTTCTGATATATGTCCATGCACAAATCTGTACAATAATCTTTTTTGCCTTAAATGAATGGTCAGCCCATTATGCATTGTCCAGATAAGCAAAATATTAGTTTGAGCATGACAACAGATAACCACAGGGTCAATACAGGAGGAAAAGAAGAAAGGAAAAAAAAAAAAGAGAAAAGACTGAAAAGACTGTTCATCAATTTATCTGAAAAACAAGAAGTCTGAGCAGCTGTAACTCAAACTAGCAAGATACAAATGATCTGAGAAAGGTTCTGATATTACTAGGAAATATGCTATTAAGACACAATGATGCAAATTAAACACATACTAAGAATAGATCAACAATCAATCTTACAGGATCACAGTGCATTTCGGGAAGAGGAATGAGTGGTTTATGCAACTCAGCCTATCACTATCTTTTAATTGAGGCCATAAAGAAAATCCATCATCTAAATCCTGATCAAAATACTAGGGAAACAGACACCTCTACCACACTGTTCTCTTGTGAAAGAGAAGTAACAAAGACATTGAAATCTCTAACCAAAGAAAATTCAAGCATGTTCACCTAATAGGAGTTCGGATCCTCACAAACCAGACGATGTGCAGAGATTTAGTTGACTCATTCACTAATCATTTGGAAACTCATTCCGTGAGGCCTTTCAGGCCCAAGACAGAACTTATTCCACCTGCATTTATCACTTATGTCAAAAACTGTGCGCTTTAAATGCTGCTATTAGGGTTAACTTTTAACCATATAAAGCAACGTAAGCATATGTCAGAATGATGACACATATTATATCCTCCTGTTAGGCAAAAACTGCTCCTGTGATTCGTGTCAGGATATGCCAGCAGCCTGTGTAAAGCTGTAAAGCTGTTACAGTAGTGAAAGGAAGAAGGCAGAAAGGTGGCAGCCCCAATTACACATTGTCTTCATTCCCATGGTACTGCACTCTGGACTTAGGTTTTTGTTTGTCTTTTTTTTTTTTTAAGGCTGAAAAAGAAGCTTGAGAATCATTAATTCTTTTTCATTTGACAGGCAAGTTGGGTTTTATAAACAATGCTCGACAATAACAGAAAGAAAAAAGTTTACAGATGCTGCATTTCAGAAGATGCAGATACTGCTGCTTTTTTTGTTTTTGTTTTTTGTTTGTTTGGTTTTTTTTCAAATGAATTTTGACAGCCCACAGTCCTGGCTTGCAAATTCATTCTTTCCTTTACTAATCCAGTCCATATATTGCGGCAGAACATTTGCCAGTTAAGCTGCATGGTAAACCAGAATGGGACATGATCCATCTCATCTAAAAGATTAGTTTTCTGCACCACAATGGGATATTTTACTAGCCATACCAGTTCAGTTATTTCACCATACAGACAAAGCAACAGCTTTGATGGTAAAACACAGGGCTTGTGATAGGAAACACATGACAACAGGTACATTGCCAGGTAAGGTAACATATATATATATATGAAAAGCTCTTTATATATCTTTTATATCAAGTGTATATATATATATATATATATATAATATCAAGTTTTATATATATATATATATAAGTATATATATATATACTTGCTACAGGATCAAAGCAAATACACCCAAATATGATGCTATAATTAGGAGAGAAACACAAGAAGCAGCCACCAGTAAGTTTCAGTTTTGATATCTAGCTGCCAGTACTTCAGCTCTTCTCACCAAGGAGTCACATAGCTTTAATTACATGATTGTTATGGATTTATGAAGGGGAAGGTTACTGTCAATCAATCTGATAGAATTCTGTGACGACTAGCTCACTGAAGGGTGCAGTGCAGGCAAGGTTGTTTATTGGAATATTAACAAGGCTTTTACTTCTACAAGATCCTTACAGGCAAATCGATGCAGTCCCCAGATCAGGCAAGTGGACAGAGAGGTGGACTGCAAACTGGCTCAGCTGCCCAGCATTCTCATCAGCAGCACAACCGGAGACTGCTCCACCTAGAGACTACTCACCAGCATTCAACCCTAGGGCTTCACACACTAGGGCCATCTTCTTTAACGGCCCAGAGGGCAAGCTTGCAAATGCAAATAATGCAAAAACTGAAAGAGCAGCTGGTATAACAGATGGCTGTGTGCCATTTAGAGAGACCTCAACAGGATGAATAAGTAGGCCAATAGAAATCTCAACAAGTAGAAGTGCCAACTTAAATTCACAGAAGAAAAAAATGAAACAATACAATAAACTCCTTCTCTCACCTTTCTACTCAAAAGATACAAAAAGATTAAGCCAAAAGAGGTATAGACAACCATCAATCTATTAAGAGTATGAGAGCTGAACTTAAAGGATTTTCCAGCTTTCATTACTATTCAGGAAGCCCTAGAAGCATCTTATCTAGCTGCAGACTGCATTCCACCTGTGATGTCCCCAAGTCCCCTCTACAGTAGGGTTTGCTGCTCTACACAGGCACACTTTGCACCATGAAATCAGAAGTGGCGAGGTGAAGGTGCACCTAACTGGTACAGTATCTTTGGTGATAAGTCCACAATGTTTAGAAGGTCGGTAATATTTCCAAGTGTCAGTAAACATTCCTGGGGGATGATACCAGCAATAGCACATCTTTGGAAAAAATGCAAATTTTTTTTAGCTGCAAGAATATCAAGTCTTCTTCCATGGCATTATAATAGTATACTCCAAAGAAAAGAGTTGACACCTTGAAGAAGACATCTGGACCAGAAAGTTATTCAACAACTAAATCTTTGGAAGATACCGGGGTTAATCTTTAAAAATAATAACCAATAACAATAATAGCAATAATAATAATAATGATAATAATCTTCCCAGTCACACTGAATCACACTTAATCCTGTATTTACCATAGGGCTGGTCACATAGTGACCTACCTTACAATGAAGGATTCTCCTGTGACTAGCACTGTATATAACACTCCTTCCTCAATCCCTCACTGCACTGCAAGAAGAAGTACAGTGAAAGCTCTGGTAATGCAATAAACTTCCTCATAAGTCATGTCTTTCAGCACTCATGCCTGTCATAGCAATTGACATTTTATCTGTGGGGCTGCCAATATGTAACGAGTTTCATACTGGTTGATTTACTCATGTCTCTATTAATGAATGATGAATGACATTTCATCAACACACTGTAAGATACTGGAAAGAAATCTCTACCTTACAAAAAGCTTCCCCATCTGCTGTCTGCAAAACACTGACTAGTCAGTTGGAAGGTGCTGCAATTCCATCTACCGAACAACATCCAGAAAACAGTTCAAATATTAAGTACTTTCTGTCACCAAATAGTGGCCATAGTTCTTCACAATACTAATAGGCAGTTGAGGAAATAAAAACTTCAAGTTTTAAGAAATTCCCTATTTCCCATACTACATTCGAAAAATTCCTTCAGTTTTCCACCCACACATTAAATGACTGTAACAGATGAGGAAAAACTCTTTTGTGCAGTACCTTTTTCTACAACTTAATGAAATCTGGAACTGAGCAGAACCTTCTGCTTTTAAATTGAGTTTAATTCTATTACGTGTTTTTTAATTTCACAAACCAGCCTCTGTTGACATAGGCACAGAAAAAGTTTATTTTTGCCTATGATAAACCTATCGTGTATAACTGACATTAATTAGATAAGTTATGGTGCAGGGCTAAGACTACAATCCATTGATAGTACCTGAGGAATAACTCCTGTGCTGAAAAATTCCTCATGCTGCTTCACTATTTACTCCCTTCATATTTTAAACACTTTCTAATACAGAGATTGTAAAGAAATGTTCACATACTTTAAAAAAAAATAACACACACACATTAACTTCTAAATAACACAGAAAGTGTGAAAACACCCACCTTGTCAACCAGTGCCCAAAGTCTGGCCGATGAGCCCACTGGACCCCTGTCTGATTCAAGGATCGAAGGAGTCGACAGCAAATAAGAATGATCCATGGACTTGCTAAGCTTATCCACTTATCTGATCCTTTTACAGATTCAGCTGAAGATGCAGCCTTGCCTAGTTTTGAATTACTTGCTGCTTGTACATCTATATTCTTGCATTCTGGGGCTTCTCCAATACTGTCAAAGTTTTGTTTCATAGAGGTGCCAAGCTGAAGGTCACATTCTTTCAGAAGAAAATGATTTCTACAGAGTTCCTGACACAGAGCCAAACATAGGGTATTGATAAGAAAATACCAAGTTTGATGTTCTTCTTCAATAAAACTGCTTGCTCCCAAACTCAAAACATGACCAATTGTTCCAGCCAGGATCAGCACATCTACTTCAGACCAGCTGGAACTGGATGCACCAAGATTCTGCAAATGAAAAAATGCAACAGAGTAAAAATGCATTAAAAGCTGTTTAAGCATGCAAAGTGTGCTTACTGCAATATCCTACAAATAAACCAAATAAACAATGAGACCAGTTATTTTTACCTTGACAAATCCTACAAATTTATGAGAGGTTCATTTTATTGTTGCCTATTCAGTTAGCATTACAGCAGAACATTGTTTAAGACAGCATTCTGTTTAAGGTAAATAAATAAAATCTTCATAATTACAACTGAACAGATTAAAATTCCTTACCACCCTCTGACAAAAAAAAAAAAAAAAAAAAAAAAGTTATTTCGCTGTCAAAGTGAAAACAGAAGTCTTGCAGAAATCAAACTTGAGATGCAAATAACCAGCAGTTTTCTAATTGGTTAAGTCTGTGATGTTCTCAATTCACCACAGTGACAGCTTTCACTACTCTAATTAACAAAAGTTACTTGCAGACACAGTCTGATGTATGTCTTATTCCTGTTTATCTTGAAACATGTCCATCATCATAAAATATGCTATCAAGCTATTATTTACTTCACACGCTGTGGTTATCCTGTGGTTATCTCAAAAAAAAACAAAAAACCAACAGGAGAATTCTTTGTCTAATGCCTCCATTAGTTCGATTTCTTGCGCAGCAGCTCCTTCAAAGTGCTCCATCATCACTGCCTTCAACGATATTGCTAAAAAGAGAGTGTAAGGGAATGGGGAATGTGGGAGCATCTGGTTCACTAGAGTCATCAGATTAAAGGCCTTCTCACCTCATAGGGAAGGGGAAATAAAAGAGAAAGCCATTAACAAAACACACAGAGACAGAAACCTGATAAGTAAGCACTAAGGGAGACAGTAAGTGGGACCAGAACTCTTCAGCCATTAATTGATGGGCCATTAAGAAAACACAGGCAGAGTCTGAAGAGCATCAATCTGGCCTTTGCAACTGATAAGGGGGAAATAAGCTAACACCAGTAGGATGGGTATCTGAGGGGGCCTGTGGAGATATGCATACTTACTAGTAAGGAATGCTTCAGGAACATGTCAAAGTTGGCAGAGATGGGATGCAGAGAGGCAGGGTAGAGGAAGGGAGAAGATAGAGAAGGGCCAGTCATATAAGAATACAAGCCAGCCAGCCATCCCTCTGAGAACCCTATGCCTGACTGCTGCAGTCTGTTACATCTTGCCAGAGCTTGTATCTGCCTTCCTGTGTAACTTCACCCTCAGTCCACATATGAGCACTGCAAGGCCCCACGGCCAGCAAGGCCTTGAGCCACACAATTCATGAGCCTTGTGTCAGCAACTGGAGAGACTGGCATTGTGTATGGCTATGCGAGAGGTCAAAGGCACGTGGCTGGAGAGGCATCAGTGTGTTTATCTTTCCTTCTGCTAAATATAATCCTCTGCATTATGAGACTGTATTTAATTTGACAGAAAAACCCAGGCCAGGGTTCGAGCAAGAGGAAAACCTGTCCCTCAGAAGACTTGAAGTCTGATCTGAAGGTTGGCAGGAGAACCTGAGCACAGTTCCAGCAGAAAGGAAGAAGACATGCCCAAGCCCAAAGGCAGCACGGGCTTCCAAACACATCTTTGTTAATAAAGCCATATATCTGTGAGGCATTCTGACAAATGACAAAATCATCAAAATCAAAAAGCATCATTTGTCATTTTATGTTCTCATTAATCTTTCCTCTATGAGTGAATATCAAGCAATGTGTCTTACGCTGATATTAGAAATAAATAGACAAATCCAAACCACCCCAAGTCCTATTCACTCCAGAACAAAAATCTGCCATCACTTTCACATTAACCTCAAGTACATACTTCAACCATGCTTCATTGACTTTGTGAATAAACTTAAAAAACAGCCTTGAATATTCATAGAAATAAATTGCACATATAACACATAGATGAACCCAGAATACCACAGTTTCTCAACTGTTTAAACCATTTACACTAAAATAATATAGAAACTCAGTAAGCAGGGAGCAGGTAACCAGAATGAGGATATAAACACATTAAAAATGCTGAACATCTACATGCAATTCTGAAGTCTCACTTACGCTTAAGCTTTATAGACAGTAGCTTAGGTTTTTGTTCAGTAATCGAGAATATGGAGAGGACAACAAACACACTTGACCCAAGAAGCTCATTAATGCTGCCTTGATTTTGCTTTGAGGAAAACAACTTCAGGCTGGATATTAAGAAAAACTTTCTTTTCAGAAAGAATTGTGAGGCGTTTTGAACAGGGAGGTGGTGGAGTTACTGCCTCTGGAGGCATTGAAGATATGGCACTGAGGGACATGGTTGGTAGGCATGGTGGGGATGGATCTTACTGATTTTTTCCAACCTTAATTATTCTGTGATTCTATGAACTTCTGTAAAATCAAGACTGAATAAGATTTATGAAAATGATTGCAGGAGGTACAATTAAACTAATCACCTATTCATATAATCTCCATTTACTGTGCTGTTAAAGAGATCTATTATTCAAAACTCCTTAAGAAATAAAACAAAACAACAAGAAAAATAGGTAACTTAAAAAATTATCAAAGAAATCATCATCATTATCTCAAAAACTGTATATACCCACAATCTGAATTCATTAGTGTTTGAAATTTCTTTGGTGCAGATCACTCCCTTCTATTCAGTGTTCTACTGTGAAAATCAGAAACCATAAACTACATCTTGGAACAAAAGGTCCAGGTAGAGCTGTTGTCTGCTCGGACCATGAAGTTCACAAAGACTGACATATGATGGGTGCATCACTGAATTATAGAAAGCTTAAACTCCAGTAACCTCACTATGCTGACCTTAGAAGTCTTGACTAACTGAATGATGAGTGAGAATGTACGAACCATCTGCTTGCAGAGACAAAGCAATACAAGATCCTCAACTAATGAGAACGAACCAGTCTTCAATACTATTCATCTGTTTTATAAGGCATAAAGTCTACAGAAGGATTGCTGTATTGTATTGGATGGTTGTCAGCACTGACAGGAAAACAAGTTCTTCTGGCAGAACAGTAGGTTCATAAGCTGAAGAGAAAATGATGTATTATCAACAGGAGAACACAGCAACCTCATAAAAATTACTGTATTAGTGAGAAATGTCCCAGTGTCAGAAGTCTACATTTTATGTCTGACTAATAATTGCAGTGAAAAATGAAGAAAAAAAAAATACTCCTGCATTGATATCAAAAGGTTAAATCCAACAGTATTTATTGATAAGCCACATTTCAGGCCAGAGTTAGGGACCTGAGCAAATGTATGCAAGTTGAAAAACTATTCTGCAAATGATTATCTCCTGAGCCTTAACGGTTTAAGAAATAATGAAAACACCTTTATTGAGGTTTTTCTCCTGTGACGTGTTAGGAGCGTTATCATTAAGGCTTTTGCTGTTGTTTATAACGTAGACTAACAACAGATTACTTGGATTGTGCTTACTTTCTGGACCTGTTTTTACAGGCACAGAAAAGTAGGTCTGACTTCAATATACACTGGTCTGAGCTCCTAGTTGCTTAATACCTCCAGCTCTCAGGAACCCTGTAGGCACTCCAGATAGTAAATAACTAATTATTTAGTTAATTTTTATTTAATAAGTAAATAGTAAATAAAGATGACTCGCACCACTATCCTGATACACAAACGTAGTATGAAATCTTCAGTTTATGAGATTTCTAAATGCCGGGCTTTCAATTTAAACCTCTCATTTGCCAACCCAGGATGGATTTAATATTTCACGTACAGGCATCAGTAACTAAATAACACAGAAAGAGATGCCTGAAAAATCTTTTGCTAGCCTACACAGGTGCCAATAAACGATGCAATATATGCACCCCGTCCATGCAAATTAATTTTTTTTTACTTTTAAATAAAACATCCAGTAAATAATCTTCCAGGTCCAATTCCAGTTACATTCTTTCTGTTCAGCTCAGAGTAAAGATCTTTTTCACAATAATTGACTTTCCATATTTAATGGCTGGGAAATCCTAAAGTCACTTTCTAGACATGAAACATTTTATTTTTATGTCCACCATCACCCAAAATTTAAATACTCATCATTTAATTCACTTTGGATACTTGAGCTACCTGCATCCAGTCTTGTTTTCTAATGATGACTATTTCCCTATAGCAAAACTCTACAGACCACATCTATTCCTGATGCTCTATCACAGCAGGCTGAGGTCATTTTTAAGAGCGACTCAGTCATGGCATCATCTAATCACTCATTTCCACCCCCCTCAAATAAAAGAAATGCAAACATACGTTTAGGTACAATTGTATAAAATGTTTTACTTTTCAAGTCAGTGGGCAATACTGCACAGAGGAAAAAAAAAATTTAAATGAACAGAGTATTTTAAAATAAAAAAAAAAAGGGACATTTTGTCTAAGTAATGAAAAAACATTACAATACTGCATAATACAGCTTCTCAAAACTGTATTTGACAAGCTTAAGCTTTGGGTTCTATTTTCATAGAGCTACTGATTCTGATTTATATCAGAAATACGGGGGGAAAAAAAGCATTTTTAAGTAGTAGTAAATACTGTATTTAAAAACTGCCATTAGAGTAATCCTATGAAGAAGTAGTTAACATTTTTTAAAGATCTGCTGCTGCTGGTAAAGGGCTGCGGAATTATTTAAAGCCGTAAGTGTCATTAAAAGAAGGGACTAGCGCTGCTAGAAACATAGTAATCAGAACCTATAAATAACAGTCAGGAAGCAGATGCTAACACTGCCTGCACTGGGCTTCAGAAAATTCATGAACTTGGTAATCAGTTTCTATATTCAGTCACAGTGGAAAAAAAAGAGCATTACAAATGAGAAGCACTTGAAAAAAATCTTTAGATGTGAACGGAAACAATTTAAAGAAAAAAAAAAAAAAAGCTCTGAAGTCATTAACAGTAGAATTTATCTTAATTGCTTTTAAAATACCTGCAGTTTACCATACAGCATGAGCTTAGGAAATGCTTTTAGCGTTTTTAAATGGCAAGACCTTAATTTAGCATTCTTCTGACATCTGAAAAGCAGGATTTCGTAACTGTTTCAAATGTGGAGAGCACATGCAGATTCACAGGTCATGGCCACTTGGATTCAGACAGTTTAGCATAACAATACTCCTAATTCTAATAGAAGGCACTTCAAGATAGACAGAGAGTATAAACAGACAGTTTCTTCCCTAAAGTCTCAGTATTCTGCTGGAAAAAAAAAAGGATGGAAAATGAGATGCAATTGTGTATGTATTTTACTGATTGCCCTCCAAATACTTGTCAGTAATCTCTCACGCCCACAACAAAGGCAGTACTGGATTATTTTCTGCTCCCTTTCACATTCTCCAGGCTCTATCTTTGCATCAACAGCTACCTGCAAGAAGCCACCAGTTTCTTTCCTGCAACAGCCCTGAAACTGGAAAAATGTAAATCAAATAAAGGGTCACTGCTTTTACAGATCAGGAATAGAAGCAATTACTAACTAAACATGCAGGGCATTCTAAGTTGCTCTGGAACACAAACAGGGATAGAAAAGCTTATTTGACAATGAGATGAGATATGCACCCACTAATCCAGTCATTTATGGAGTGGGATGAAGATGGGTTGATGAAAATCCATTTCTAGAGGTCTGCCTTCATAAGACGTATTTCAGCTTCTCACATCCTCAAATATGCCCTACGTATGAAATATAAATACAGCCTAGAATGGAGAACCCAGTACTTTTTATCTGTACCTGCCCTCATCTGGGAGTGAGGTAATCCTGAAAATATTGCTGAAAATGTCCTCGTTCATTTATTACCAGTTAGAAGCAGCTAATCTTTTGCTGGTATGTGCTGATCTTCCATTTAGTTAAAACAGTAGAAAATGTGTATGATTCATGATGCACCAATTTCACAAATTCCCTAACCTTTCCAGTCTAAGAAAGAAACATTTGAGTTGATAGATGTTCTATTACAAATGCACATATTTTCCAAGGTGAGAGGCAAATAAGCACCTTCGTGTCCAAGAGACACTATACAATCACTTTCCTAAAATGACAGAAGTGTTACTGCCAGTAACACCAGTTTTCACATGTGAATAAAGTTTTTCCCACTTCCTAAGTTCCAGATGGGCCTGAACAACTGGTACCAAACAGGAAAAGAAGGCAAGCTGCTGCTGAATCCTCCATCTTCAAGTAAAAAAGTACTGGGCTTACAGTTCTACATCATCCAGGGAGAAAGCTTCAGCTGATGAGCTCACTTACAAGCAGAACGTAGGGTGCAGGAGGCAAGGACACAAACCTAGAAACAATATTTAGCATATTGCATCCCATCGGTCTATTTTTGCTCAATTAGTTCTCAAAGACAGACGTAAGGGGAAAACAGGATAAGAAAAGAAGACAACTGAAACAGAACAAAAAGCTTTTCACACATACTTGATGTGTTCCTTGGCAAAATTATTTGTGTCCATTAGAGTAATAACAATTAGTTTGTTTCCTAAGGAAAACCATTCCATCCAATTTTGAATACTAGGCGGCATTTTGCAATTTCTGCTGTCATCATTGACAGAGCAGTTTCATTAGCAGTATATAAGCCATCTGCAGGAAGTTCACCAGCAGCTGCCTCTCACCAGCAAGGATGTAAATGTGCCAAAAACAGATGGGGATGATACCCTAAGACTCACGCCAAACTAGAAACACAGAACTCATATCTGCATAGCAGTATGTGGTAAGAACCTGTTCTAAATTTATCACTGAAAGAAAAGCTCACCCATGCTACGGAAGGAGAAAAGAGTGTGCCTTAACCCTTTGCTTCAGATACCCTGAAAAGCTACCACAGTTTGGGAAGCCCCAAAACATCTGGGTCAAAGCCACTCAAAGGAGGACTCAATGACTTCTCTGAAGTTTCCTGCGTCACCCCAGATACGCAAAGGCTAACAGTGGTGAAAGACCTACACCGTGTTCACATACTCTTTGATCAACTCAATGTGTTGTTGGTTCTGGCACCACTGCTGCGGTTCGTAAAGCTGAATGCCTTTGGCATCCAAGAGACCTCATGATTTACAGTTCACAAGTGTTTCTTTTCGGTAAGGAGCCCTAGTAAGATCCTGTTATTCCCTGACAGTTCCCCAAAGGAGAGAAATGCAGGAATGGAAAATGTTACATAGCAATACTAAGGCAATGCCATCTTCAAAATCAGCAAGCTGAGATGGACACTACCTGTCCATTTCAAGTATACATGTAGATGGTTAGCTAACAGGCATTCAGTGGCCACAGAAACAAAACTCTGTAAGAAATTACAAGCCATTAACTGTCACAAGAGAAAGCACGATTCAATCCCTACCACACAGAACGTTATCTCATATGAAGAATTCATAATTCCCCGTAATTCTGAGGAAAAGAAAGTAAATAATAAACAGAAGGAAGATCGGATCAGACTGCTAAAAGGCAGAAAACTCAGAAGAGAATCATCAAAATTACAGACAAACAATACTGTGCTAACAGCTCTCCAGGTCAGTCTCATCTCAAAAGAAAAAAAAAAAAGAGGAAAAAGAAAAAAGAAAAAGCCACACAGCAAAAGGTGTGACAAAATTAAGCAAAATGAAGGAATAACAAAGGCACAGAAGCTGCCCTATTACAGAGTTTAAAGTTTCCCTAAGGAAGTCCCCAGCAAACAAAAATTTTGAAACACAACTTAAGCAGAATCTCTTTCATAACAATTTTGCAAAGTACTTCAAGCTTACTTGTTATTCCTTGAGTATGAAGGAAGAAATACAAACGAAAAAAACAGTACAGAAAACAGGTCTTCAGGCATCTGAAGCCAAATGCAGAGCACTAGCCTCTACTGAGATAAGCACTTTTATGTGAAGAATATTTGCACCACATCCTCTCCTATAGAGGCTTCAAGCTTTATCTTAAACCTGTAAGAAAAGTATTGTGCTCATTTTCTCAACAAGCTTCAGAGACAGACAGAATGCAGTTTGAAGCGCAATACCGCTGTGTGAAGACTAGTTCTCCTTTTATCTTTAACGAGACAAAAGATAAGAGACCATTAAAGCCCACTGCTCCTATAGCGGTGGGTGTCACAGAGAATTAACTCTTTTCTAGGTATATAAGGAAGACTTCAAGTCAAAAACAGACTGAGTTGTTCTGAGACTACCATCACTGTTCTTGATCAAGTTAAAGAAGATTGTGTGTAAATTTTATGTAGGTATAGGCCATCATCACTGTAAGGTTCTTACTGTTGACTAAAATTAGGAAAAAAATTAACACCCAGGATGACAAATGAGCTTGTTTCCTGCAGTTGCTTTTCCTTACTGTTGCACAGCAAATAAACATTAAGATTCTACGCATTCCAGTAATCATTAACAATTATTTCAAGGTCATACGATTTTCCTTCCTACAAAAGAAAACTTCCATCTCATTATGTAACCCAGAAAAGGCTAAACTGAATCCATTTAAAGACAAACACACTCCTAGGTACTAACAGCGCTAACAAACCATAAGACAAGACATCTTCTCCAGCAGATTTTTCCATTCACACTGATTAATTTTGTGTTCTTTTATTTGCCTTTAAAAATAATCCACAGAAGCACCACTAGGCTTGGTATCAAAACATTACAACTAGTTTGATACGATAATGAAAATTACTGCAGAACTACAAGGAAATTACCCAGTCAGAAAGACTCATGCTAGGAGTTATACTTCAAATGAAACTTCTTTCATCATTAGTGATGAAAGATATCATTAGTGGCATTTTACACTATTTCAGCCTAGATGTTCAACACACACACAAACTTTACGCTACCAGTAAATACGAGCATAAGAATGAAACGTCACGACCTACTACAACTCTCTTCCTTGATCCCTTTTAATACACTAAATGGCACAAAATAAAACTGAGAAGGAAAAAAAAAACCGCTGCCTTCAAGAAAGGAGGATGGAATTACTTTTAGCGCAAGGCTTCTCTCTCAGAAAAATCAGATATCTGAGAGAGAATGGCAAATTCAGAAGTTACAGACACAAAATGATGAATTCCAACTTGCATAGCTCGAATCATAAAAATCAGCAGCCTCACTCAAAGACTTTAAATGTATAGTTAAGTTAAGGAATTCCGGCATATATTTATAAATACTGCAGTACTAATTCTGCTAAGTATTGTCTTTTTTCAGTTACTCTGAATACAGCAATTACATACTTATGCAATTCACAAATCTACTTTTTGCTTGAAAAAAATGTTCTTACAAAATATCATACATCTTGCATCAGTTGCAGTTGTGAAACATCTCTGTGTACGAGTTTATAACTAGTTAAACTGTTTTCTGTAACAGTTGAACTGCTTCTGACATCACTAAAGTCATCTGTAGAGTAATGTAACCTGATTGGAATGTTTCTCAAAGTAAAGTGAAAATAAGCACTTCTGTCATCTTCTTTACAACAATCTTTTATCATGTCACAGTGAACATGCCACATTTCAACACTAATTTTGAATGATTCTAATTACATTACAAACAATTCCTCTATGTAAACATGCACAAAAATCTTCCACAAAACTTTACTTGGAAGTATGCCACAAGGAGCAAAACTGTGAACCATAATTAATGCATGCTCTCACCTTCAGTGGAAGTCTGGAATTCTCAAGAGTCTTTCCAACGGCAGATAAAATACCGCACATGAGTGCAGAAATCAGCATCATCACTCCAACTGCAGTTAACCAGGACATACTGCAGAAATAGCATAAACTTTCTGCTGATGTGCATACAATGACGTGAACTGCACACAGCATCAGACACATCAAGTAAAACAGCAGAGAGAAGAGTGGAGGAGAGAGGGGCACTTCAAATTCTGCCCGACTGCTCAGAGCTTTTGGTACACTGAGGAAGAGTAGGAGCAAAACCTACAGGGGGGAAAAAAACAAAAACAGAGAACCGACAGGTAAAGAATCAGAATTAGCTAAGGCATACAGCCAGAATTCACACACACAAAACTCATGCTGTGTCATCCGTGTAACTCTAATATATATACTTCATCTTTAAAAAGCCATGAAACACTATGCTGGGTGGTCCAACCAAAGCAAGACTTCACCATATAAAGGGGCAAAGCAAAAATAGTGCTTTTCTTTATCAGTTTAAGGGGTTGGACTCACAGTTTATCAGGTTTTAATAAATAAACAAGTGCCTCCTGACCTGCTGTGACTGACGATGTGCATGATCTGCTTTCACTTTAAGAGTTTCAGTGCTCTACAGAATTAAGTGTTTTAAGTCTCAATGCCAAAATAGCTCTTGAATAAACAAATCTGACTTATTATTTATAGCCTACAAAGGCCTGAAGTGACATGCACACTCTAACAATGGTCATTTATCTCAGATTTCTTGCTGAGCCAAGTAGCTTCCCGGACCAGGGAAAGTGCTCATCTTATCATGTAAGTGTATGCTGTTTTCAGAGCTTAAGAATTCTCCTGGTGCTTATTTTTGCCCCCCTCCTTATCTTAATTTGATTTACTGATTTCACTTTGCTATAGCCTGCACACTAATCACTTAGAACTCCAGGCTTTTTCCCAGGTAACTGTACCAGTGAAGATGAATACCATCATTAGCAATTTCTGCTACGTATGTGCATGTAAAGAGAAAGTCCAGCCACATACTGTAAGGATGCTCTGCAAGAGGCACACACATACCTAGTAATAAACTAGGCTCAATCTGCTTGTGATAGGGCAAGTTTAAAATAAATTTAAATAAAAAACTATCAGAGGACAGCCAATCTGTAATCATTCACTTGTGAAGACCTCTACCTAAAACTCACCCATCATTACGGCTACATATAGTAAAAATTAAGACTTTAAAAAATTTTGTTACACTGCAGTAGTCTATTCACTTACATTATACCTTCCACAATTCACTTACATTTGGAAGCATGAGGTTTCACAGTATCATATTGGCTCAGGTTTTACTTTTTAATACAGGACTTAAAATTATAACAAAGCACTCAGTATACTAAAACGCTCAAATTGTAGTTATCTACAAATCTATATTTAGCTTTTTTGAGTAAATGAATGGTTATTAATGTACTAAATGTATTCCCCTCATTTAAAATATAGGATTAATAGCACTTGTAGATTCATGTAGTTTGAAGCCACTTGTAAAATTTCCTGCCTTTATTTCTACAGCAAGGATGGAAAATACATACAGAACTGAAGGGGACTATGTGGAGCTTGCTGAGGGTCCATCCCCATGGGGATGCACAGTATAATAAAGGACTTTCCTATGACAGAGGCCTCTGGTTGTTGAACTGCGACATAAAACAAAATGATCTTGGAAAGTAGGCCAATTTCTTGAGTTTTGAATTGGAAAAAAAATAACCACACAAAAAACCAGGCTGTACTGTCTAGTTTTCCAGTGACACCAAGCAGGCTCTCATCAGGCAGACTTTTCACTGTTAGAGCTATTAGGTGAAGGTTTCCATTGATAAAGAGCCATTAACTAAAATACTGAGATCTGTTTTGTTGAAAAACTAAGCATCAACAACCGCAAAAAAAGAAATCCAGTGCTTCAGGTACAAAGTGACTGTAAAGGCTTGAATCCTTACGTTCACAAAACAAAGGAACATGAAAGGACTATAAGCACTTCAGCTTCAGAGTGGCATTGGCCATCTCTAGATTTGCTGTCCTAGAGGAGGCACAGAACCTACCATCCTGTGCCCTGTGGGGACTGTGGAACTAGCTCCTGTCAAGAGGTATGCAGTGATACAGCCCATTGAGAAAGCCATCTCAAACGTGCTCTGTGCACAACATGAGGAATACAGCCTGCTAGGGCTGAGAAGACTCAAATACAAAACAGCTACTTATCACCTGTTAGCCATTCCAGCCACAGAACACAAGTAGATGCACAGCTATTATACAGCCTTGTAGGTGTATATGACGCTGTATGTAGGCCAGGTATATCTGTCATAGAGAGCTAATTCTCACAGAAGTTGACAAAAATGCCACCTAAACTGTAAGTGCACGTTTTTGTATATGTGAGTGCAGGGTAACTCACCAGCAAACTCACTTCTTCAAAGCATTACCACAGAGGCAATTTCACAGAATCACAGAATCACAGAATTGTAGGGGTTGGAAGGGACCTCCTGAGATCATCGAGTCCAACCCCCCTGCCAAAGCAGGTTCCCTACACCAGGTAGCACAGGTCGGCATCCAGGCAGGTCTGGAACATCTCCAGAGAAGGAGACTCCACCACCTCCCTGGGCAGCCTGTTCCAGTGAGACCTCCCCAAACTATCAATTGCAAAGAATCACTTAAAATTCCAGAAATGTGATATCTTATCTTTACTCCTACAAGAGATATGGAATGGCAACTCTGCCTCTTCCAGCAAGCACTTGTTTCAGGACTACTGACTTATCAGTACCAAGAATTCTCAGAATGGTGGAGAAAAAATTGGGCATATAGGGTTTAGCTTGTTCTGAGCAGCTGTGTTTGTTGTTAGATAAAGGTGAAAAAAGTAGGAACTTCACTGAAGATTTTTTTTTTTCTTTTTAACACAGGGAGTTGGAACTAGATCTTCAAAGTGCCTTCAAATCCAAGCTATTCTTTGACTTGTGATGTGCATATATACCGTTACACCAAGACACAGACATCATATGTTCTCTTGAATCATTTCAAAGGGTAATAATTTAAAAAAAAAAGAGTACTACGTTAATTTTTCAAATACGGACAAACCCTAAAATACTTAATTCTGAAGAACATACACTAAATAGTCAAACAACAGGAAATTTTATGCCTTGCATTTAGCTTTTTCCATAAAAAGACATTTTTTGTTTACCTCCATAATGATCACAGTCCCCACCATCATTGAATACATATCATATTGTGCCACTTGTTTGCTTAGCGAAGAACTCAACGTCCTCAAGGCCTCCAAGTATTGTTTCAGGACCTTTTTGCCAAGATTTAAGAGTATTTCTGAATTATTCCCCTCTAGGTACAGTTTGATCCAATTACCATGGGATTTTTCTGCTATCTTAAACTGCTCGTATCCAAGATCTATTAGGGGGGGAAAAAAACAACAGGTTAGAGGATCCATGGACAACGAAGATAATTAGAGATCTAAACATACTTATATATTTTTTTATGTTTGCTTGTGTAATCTACAGAAAAACTGCTACAACAGTTGAAACTTATTTTGCACACAGGAAGTAGCATTACCTTCCAGCAAGACCATAATGTTATGCTGAATAAAAGCAATTAATCCCCAAACAAATAAAACGTCAAAGATTCTAAAAGTGACAAACACATTAAAACAGCCATTTACTTTTACAAAAGGTTTCCAAGATAAACATACCCAAATGCTTTAAATCCTTAAAACAATCTTTCTTTTTTTTTTTTTTTCCCTCCACTGGAGCTACTTACTCTCCAGGCCGTTATTTCACAAGTAGGAAATCATCAGATTGCTGAAGAAACTTTATTTTTTGAAGAAACCACTGAAGGACCTACACAAAGCAGATTAAAGGCCCTGATTTTGCTGCAAGTGATGAGAATCAGGTGGTAACACAAAGTGAAACACAAAATAAGCTGTATTTTGATGCAGGCATAGGAAAGTTAACAACTGAAGTGCATGGTTTGGCTTCACTCATTTGGATTAACAAGCTGGTGCAAAACAATCCTCCTTCCACAAAGCTAGATATTCTTCTATTTATAAGGGCTGACCACTGTCCAAACTAGATTAAAAAAAAAAAAGAAAATCTGATACTGCCACTAACCCACAGAAGTAAAAGGCTTGTAACAGAAGGTGATTTCATGATGGCCTAGCCACATTTAAAAGCATTCTGTCCAGAAGTAAAACTTGTGGCAGGCAGGAACACTAACCTTGAGTGATGACAACAGGCGAAATAGGGAAGAAACAAATATCCAAATCCTATTTTAGAAGTCCTTTGCAATTACAGCAGCAGTGGCTTTCATCCTGCATGTATTTTCCCTCCCAGAAGTACTGGTTATTCCACAGAATCCTTACTTTACACTAAGTTAGAGTTGATATATGACACAGAGTGTCCACATTATGTGGATAGGCAATGAATGTTACAAGACAATTCAAAAGATGCAAGAGAGCTCCACTACTTTACTCTCCCATAACTAATGCTGTTTTCCCACTGCCAGCTTTCCCACTGTTAAATATTCACAGAAAAAGCTGCAGCACAGTAATTCCTGACCAGTCTTGACAGCATTTTTACTTCCCCAAAAGATGTATTCAGCAATGACAATAAGTAGATACTGCAGGCAGGCATGAAAGAGACACAATTTTGTTCACACATAGAAGAAAATTAGAACAATTCATAATCATAAACATGAAATTTAAAAAGAAATCTGCAAAAAATTAATAGTTTGAGACTTATATCCACTTCAGCATTATACTCACTTCTAAGTTTAATTTCAAGAACATGTATTCACAACACAGCAAATTAGATTAGCTGCTGTGTTTTACTGTAAATGTTGACAGTGGTATTGTATCTTAAAGCACTTAAGATATCCTTTTCTTTATCATTTTATAGGTGCTTTGCCCCATACTCCAACATGCCCTACAACATTTAAAAATTGGCCATTGGGAATAATGTGCACCCACAACACAATCTCAATTTAGAACAGAAGAAAATGTATTTCAGTAGGCACTATGCTGTGTGAACATATATACCAACCTGCACTGTTTACAAGAAATGTTTCTTTTGCTTCACTTCAATAATTATCAGAGAACAAGAGAACATCCCAAGTCAGGAAGGAACCACATGGATCAGTGAGTCCAACTTGTGGCTCTACGAAGAACCCTTCCTACTTCCATGCTATTTCACACTATGAAATTAATAACAAGGGCAAAAAGAACAACCTGGAAATGGTTATTTAACAAGCCTAACACTGTCCTCCTAACTTTAATTTCTTAACTTCCTACTTAAAAAGTAAGCTAAACATTTACTGTGGTGTTTCAAAAAGCAAGGGTTAAAGTAATCAGTAGTTGGTGTTTCGCAGAGCTCAGTCCTAAGGCCAGTTCTGTTCAACATTTTTATGATGAATGATGCATGAGTGGAGTGCCTTGGCAAGGTCACTAAACTGAAAGGCATTGTTGACTTCCTGGAGGGACAAGAGTCCTTGCAGATGGATCTAGATACACTGGAGCACTGGACAATCATCAGCACCACAAAATTCAGTAAAGAAAAATGCCGGGTTCTGCACCTAGGACAAGGCAATGCCAGACGTAGGCACAGATGGGAGATGAGTGCCTCAAGAGCAGTACAGCAGGAAGGGACCTGGCAATGCCAGTAACATCAGCTCAGCGCAAGCCAGCACTGTGCCTGGCAGCCAAAGGGCAAACCGCATTTTGGGGTGCAGTAAACACAGCACAGCTATCCAATTAAAAGAGGTGAATGTCCCCATATTTTTAGCACCTTTCTGAAGACTGTGTGCAGTTCTGGTCTCCACCATATGACAAGCATGTTGAAGTCCTTTAAAGTATCCAGAGGACACAGGCTGGATGACATGTTCTATGAAGTGACCTTGAGGACACTTCAGCTATCTGGTTTAAAGAAAAGGAGGCCGAGAGATCTCATCATTGCTCTGTGCAATTTTTGAGGAGGGGAAGGGGAGTGGGAGATACCAGAGCTCTCTTCTCCTCTTCTCTCCAGTGACTCATGACAGGATGCAAGGCAATGGCACAAAGCTGTACCAGGCGAGGTTCAGGCTCAGCATTATGAAAAATTTACAAGGTCAAACAATGGAACAGTCTTGCTAGAGAAATGGTTGGAGACCCATGGATGACAGACTGCAAGAGACAATTGGACAATGCCCTCATTAATGTCCTTTAACTCTGTTTAGCCTTGAAACAGTCAGACAGTTGGAATTAATGATCTTTTCCAAATGAACTATATTAAAAAAATACAATAGTTATACTACACTGGAGGCTTACAGGTATCTGCTGGTGAGTACAGTTCAATCAGCAGCAAACACTTGCATATCAAGAGAGCTGCCAGTGTGCACTAAGACTTTCACAACATAACTCTTAAACAGCGAATTCCCTAGAAAGTTTTTCTTCTGGTATGTAAATTCAAATAACTCCTACTTGAAATGAGAGTTAAACATTCATACTTTTGAGGAAATCCAGAATGGATTATCTAAAATGAGCTTCACTCAAACCAAGATTTGGCACAGCACCATTATATTATACAGAACACTAAAATTTGCCCAAGTTATATTTTGAAATCTAAGTAATTTCTGTCTACAACTTCTGTTCCTGATCCAATTCCATTTCTTTTTTTTTTTTTTCAACCCCCCCCCCCCCCAGTCTCCTTCTGTATTCCTTTTAGCATACTTATTTCACTCTTCTGCATCTGTCTTGGTTATGCTTCCCAAGCACCTGGTTGATAGTTTTATTTAATTATAGTCACAGGCAGCAATCGTATATTTATCAAAGTTCTTAATGAAATGAATTTATGATGTAGAGGCAACTTCTCCAGTTTCAGTACATAAATCTCAGAAATCAGCAAATTATTTTGTTCAATATAAACACATAACACAAGCTTAAGATTGGGACCAAACTAAAGCGTGGACATTCATTTTATTAATATCCAACTTGTACTCAAGTATGGCTTTTTGTTCTACCATAATGTGCCTTGTACAGAAACAGCCCTAGTTGTGTAAGATAATTCAGATGAATGATCTGCAGTTTAGAACAGGAAGTAGTACTATCTCCTACAACTGCCCACCACACTGAGATATGAACACTGTCACACACTCAAGAGTGCTCTTCTAGATGCAGTGGACTGCATGGACTGTTCTAAAATTCTATGAATAACATTTAAAAAAAAAAAAAAAAAAACCATTTCTGCTCAGAATTCAACTGAAATTTCATCATCTGCCAGTTGTCACTAACCAAGAATCTGAAATAGAAATTTTCAACTTTTAGTTTGCAAATGAGTAAGATGTTTAATTGGGTAATAACTGAGGATTCTTATCGTCAAAAAACTTGATAGCACACTCCACCCACAGAACTCCGAAATAGTACGGCCCAAGATTTGTCAGCACACCTCAAATGAGTATGCAGGTGGTCCACAAAAAAGAACCAGAAGGCCCAGAACAGAGCTAGAACACTGTTTAGAACTATGCCCAGACACATCTTGAATGGCTGCAAATACAGAAACTACACAAATTCTACATGCAACTTACTCTAGTGTACTACTATCCTTACAGAAAAATGTTTCCTTTCATTTAAGTTTAATGCCTCTTATTCACTCACTAAGCACCAAATTTAGTTTGGTTTAGTCTTTTTTATTTCCTTCCTTCAGGCATTACATACATTGCTAAAGTCTTTCCCATGTCTTCTTTTCTCCAAGCTGAACAGCCCAAGCATCCTCTGCCCCTCTCCTACCATATGACAGATGTTCCAGTTCTCTCACTCATTAGATTACAATGTCCACATCCTCCTTACACTGGGGAAGCCAGAGTTGGGTCAATGACCCCACACGTGATATGACTATAACTGAGGAAAGAGAAAAAAAAAGCCCTGTATACTCTTGGTCTTCTTTTCACAATGATGTATTGCTGGTTTACATTCAACATCATATCCACAAGACCCCTTGTGTTTTTCCATCAAGCTGCTCTTCAGGCACTCAGCATCCAACCTGCATTTTCTTCTCCCTGGATGCATTTCTCTTTGCTGAACTTCATGAGGTCAGGCCATTTCTCCAGTTTGTATTAATAGCACTAAACTCATCTGCTGTATCTTTCTTCAAGTTCTGCACCATCTGCAGTATTGCTGACGGATGCTCTACCACATCATCTAGCTCATAAATGAAGATGTTCAACAGTACTGGCCTCAGTACTGTTGGGATCTGCACTAGTGACTGGACTTCAGCTTGGCTTTGTGACTGATCACAACTGATCACAGCCCTCTGAGCCTGGCAGTTTAGCCACTTTTCTGCATTGACCATTCACTTATCTAACCTGAATGCATATTCATCTCAAAGTATATTATGGGAGACAAACATGTTACCAAGGCTATTGTGACGACACAAACGACATCCAATTCTCTCCATTTATCCGCCAAGCCAGACATTTTGTAAGGTGGTGTGAAATGTGGGATAGTATTTACCCTCAGTTACCAAACAACCCAAAGCTAAGCACCATGCATCCAACTTTGGAAGTACAGGCAGCATTAGTCACCAATTTAGTGACTTTTCAGTATTTCTATGGACTGAAGTATCCACATTAATGAACCTTACCACTAAATAAACAGCCAGACATCTTTTATTCCCCTGCCAGTCTCAATGGTACTCAAAGTTTCCTACAGTTGTGTATTAAGATAAAGCCTTACTTATCTAGGAACCTGTGAGAACAGCAAGACTCCTTAATACATGTACAGCAACATAGAAAATTCATCTTAAGAAACTGCACAAAAAACTACAGGGACTTAGATCTGATTCCATCTTACAGATGCTATGTTACTGAAAAGAGAGAACCTAATCACAGAGGCTCAGCTGCCTGCTACCGTCCTATCTCCAGTAGTATAGCACTCATAGCAGTTCACAGTCACAAGCAAGTAGCATAAAAAACTTTACATTTCCTCCAACTTGAGTAATTTTTATTTCTTTTCTCAAAGGAAAGCTACAAGTTGAAATAATGCTGTCCCTGGAAAAAATGAAGTAAAAACAGAATCTGGAAGAAACTTCAGCCTGCTTCACCAGTGCTTGAAGAAACAGTCAAATTGAGTTTCGTGTTGGAATTTTCAATTAAAAAAAAGCCATATTCCAAACTATACCAACATAGTGAGTTCCTTTATTTGACCCATTTGCTGGAGAAAAAAAATATCAGTATAGGACTTTATTATCATAGCATTATCTACACTAACATTTCACTACCATGGGCAACATTTGTTTTAACAGGCTACTGGACAGGGTTTAATTATGATTAGAAGCCATGACGTTGAAAGCTAATTATTTCTTGATCTACAGTGATCATTTTGCTGAACTTCATGTTGTCTTCCATTTTAACTATTCATACTTGTATTACAACTTCACATTCCTGTGCAGCTATTTATGCGATTCAGACACAGTCAAGCGACAAGGACTTCAGGCTTCACAATCACTTTAAAATCAATGCTTTCTAATATCTAGGGTAAAATATCCACCTGCAACCTCTATTTTAAGTTTTATTCACATATTTATATTAACTTGCTTACTTATGCTGCTTGTCTGTAACAAGCTTCTTAAACAAGTATTATGCTTTGCTAGGGTAGACACATGATGTTTTGGTTATTTTCCAACCTTGTTTTTTGTTCTCTCCACCTAACATATACAAACATGTAATTGTACATCTAGATGTACTTTTAACTGGCAATTTTGCATTTCTTTGAGTTCTCACTCCCATGTAAACTCACACAAAAGAAAAAAAAGGAAAAAAGGAAAGAAACTCATCATAAATTATTTCTCAACATTATTGGACATAGACTTTCTAAACCAGAAAATTAATTCCGTTGTGCTATTCCTTCAAATAGTGCTCAGAATCAGTGCCCTGTACCTCAAAAATACACAGGTACACAAAAGTATGCATGAAAACACTGAGATTTAACTACACAGGTAGTTTTTACTTTAATCTTACCCCTCCATCATTATTTCTGCTCTTTCATCTACTAGTAGGAGTACTGAACATTTTTATTAAACAATGTTCATTCAGAAGCAGTGTGCTGGAATAAATAACAGTGAAGAGCAAATTCCACATTATTACTCTAAATATTGCTCTTAATTAAATGGCTAATTTGCAGTGTCACACTTAAATTATTTAGCGCAAAAACCCCAAACTCTGTTAGAAAGAACATCACATTATTAGGTAAATATCCTTCTTTTCATTCATTGTTTTTTTAGATTATTTACCTTTTTCATAGGCAGGTGTATTCTCTTGCAACAGTGTGCTAAGCTGGAACCCATTCATGTGTAAGAAACGTAGTTGTTCTCTCATGGTCTTGCTTCCCACAACTGGTAATATAATGTTCCCAACATTGTTTCTTGAAATTGGTAGACCAAGACCTACTGCCAGTGTACTAGCCAAATCAGTTTGTTGCACAAGTTCAAGTTGGGTTAGAGGACCTACAATCAACAAAAAAACAAACAAACAAAAAAAAAAACCCTTCAATTACTTCAATGGTTAGTTCAAAAAATGGCAAAAGCTGGACATCTTAGTTAAAAAGTATTTTCACTGCTGTTACAACTATTTCAAGAGAGCTACAGAGTGATCTTTTTTGTTGTAAAATCAGAATTTATTAAATTCTCAGAAAAAAATAATTCTTCAACGTGTGCAATTACTAGAAAAAGAACACGAATGTTACACAAGTATGTATAAAGATTGTCCAGGAGACTACTTAATGGTATCAAGTCTCAGTTAAATCCTGAGTTTGATGACGTTCAGATTAGAAAGAACAGAGAACATTACAGTAGACTGATGAATGCATAAATGAAGAATGAGAATCTAATGTAATGCTGACAGTATTCTAGATTCCTCTTGATATTAATTAATATCAAATTGCTGTTGTCATATTAGCTCGCTGGACAAACAGAACTGGAGGTCAGGTAAAGGAACATTGAGTCCTAAGTCCTGGAGCTCCATGCAAGCAAAGGCTGAGAATTTAAAGTATAAAGATGCCATTATCTGACTGCAGTTCTCAGTCTTCTGTGCAGATGAGAGATTTCATTCAATGTATGTAATTATTTAAAATTGAAACACCAGTTGTTTCTTCCTATGCTTTATTAGTTACATAACAGAGTCTTTAACCATGCTCTTAGTTCTCTTTGCAAATCCTGGCAGTGAGTATTTTGACTTATACATGAAAATAAATGATATACAGTGCTTATTACTCTCAAGGCTCCCTTTAAGAGAATTAGAGTTTCATCTCTCGTTTCTCATCGATTTGTGATTAATCTCATACTTGTTTAGAATGTCATCTATAATCCCTAAATCCTCTTTGCATGAGTGTTTGTATGTCAGCATATTTCAGATTTCATCTTTAAGGCAAGCTTTTAAATAGTTATATAAAAAGTAAAAGAAAGACCAGCTACCTCTAGTCAGTCATGGGTGGCATAACTGTGCAGAAGACTACAAAAATTAATATTCAGATCACACATTAAAAGTGAAAGCCTGAAGGATTACTATTTTGAGGTCTGTTGTTTCAACCACAATACATTTCATTTTCAGTAGAATTATAAGCAGCAATCAATAGAATTTTGCCTACTACAGCAATAAGGAGTAAACTGTTGGATATTAAAAATATGATAAAAATCACACTTTAATGTGACTTGCTCTGAAAAGACAGTTGACTAGCTATATTTTATCATATTGTAAAAACTGCATGTTCAGTTTAAATGTAACAAACTAATCCAAACGAATAAGAAATTGCATTTACAGGATCAACACCTGTGGCTTGGTTGTCAACATATATCAGTGTCACTTATAAACCAAAAACTTACCTTGCTTAGTCAGCTTCTGAATGTATTTTGCTTTTCTATCTGAAGAGTCCAAGGACATTTCAGGCAATCTTTTCTACTACTGCTGGATATGGTCTTTACAAGTGATAGACAGATAAATGTACTTTAATTGTGCTGCAGGAACCTCCAGAAAAATAAATAAGGCAAGGTTTGGCAAGCAGGAAAAGAGATGAAAATGGACAAGAGGCGTAATGAAAGGCAGAAGGGAAGTATTATTTTGAAGAAAATGTTCATTCCTAACTATGCTTCACTTATTAACTCAGTGTGTTTATTTCAGAAAGATATTTTAAGCTACACAAACTACCACACCATTCCCTTCATTCCTCTTAAGCCGTATTATACAACTAGAGAGTGAGCTTCAGAAGCAGACAAGCTCAATGTAACAATAAAAAAATGAACTGCCTGTCCAATACAGGAAATACACTCATGTTTCATATTCCTTCCTTAGATACTTCGCAATCAATGGTTCTGTTTCCTTTGCTGTCATCTCCCTCCTTTTAACAAGAACAATTCTTCTTCTTTCCTGTTATTCCCAGCACACAAAAATGGCATTTATTCTTCTGTCTCAGCTGTTTGAAATGGAAGAACGGAGGCCAGAAAAAGGATTGCCAGAAGAGTTCTTGAAATCTTCAAACGTTTGGTCATGGAGCTGACCAAAGCTCTCAGGGAAGTTCTCCCATTATAAATGTTACAGATATACGTTGACAACCAGATGACAAAAGCGATTATTCTAATGCCAAGAATGACAAAAGTTAAAACTCACTTCAAGCAGGACTTAGGTTCTAATCATATCTATTTACCAGTACTCTGTGATCCAGACAAGAGATCTCACTAGTACTGAACATTTAAAACTTCTGCAGCTCTATCCTGCTTTAACCTGAGAAATACCTAATTCTGCCTGTGGTTACACAGCTTAAGCCACACATTCAACATGCCACAGACGAAAACTCTAAAAAACAGATCACAAAGAACATGTTATCTTGACAGATGTGTAGAACTAATAGTGAGCTAAATTCCACCACCAGGATGATAACATGATAAAAACACATTATTTTCCAGGAATAACATAAATTGAAGATAAATCAGAAACGTTCTAACAATGGCATCCTAGAAAACCAAGGTTCTTTTGATCCTTACCACTTCTCTTTTCAAAAGCAGAGCTGATAAATAGCAGCGGTGTGTGCACTTCACCTTCTGAAGAACCACCGTGACTGCCTGTTTCAGACATCCCGTGATCCCCACAAACAACCAGCAAACTGGGCAGAGAAGCCTCTCCTTCCTGCAAGCCACAGTAATAAAGTTTAATACACGAACAATACATGTTTGTTGCTCTGAAAGCAATGTTTCCTATTTCGTTACGTTGGCCCATGCCCTCAAGAGGTGGATGTTAACAGGATGGCAGCAGAGGTTGAACCTTCCCACCAATACCCCGTTACATGTTGTTGCCATGTGACAGATGGCAGCAGAGGGACACTGACACAATGGCATCCAACGTGGAAGCGTAGATGAAGCAAAGGTGAGTCACTGAATTCCAGCCTGTGGAAAAAGGTAATCCACTGACATTCACCGACGCTTGCTGAACTTCATGGAGACCCAAGAGTGGATGTGAGCACACTAAGGCAGTGGGAGGTGCATTTCAGCAGTGGCAACTGCAGCAGTGGGTCACCTCTGCTAGTGCAGATTGTTACAAGCGTGGTATGCACGCTTTTGCTCATCCCTGGTGGAACTATGCAGCTACTGACAATGACTATGTGGAAAAAGTTTTCTGTAGAGGAGAATTTGCTCTATGAAACAGTGTTATTGTGGTGTTTGTACCCATTTTATTTTCCATGGGAATGAATAGGAGACATTACACTTCTGCCGGATCTGTTTGTGTGTGTGTGCATATGTGTATATATCTATCTATATATGCTCCATCACCTCTAACACCTTCAAGCATGAATATTTACTGAAATGAATTCAGATTTCAAAACTGGCTGTCAACAGCCAGAGCAGATCACCAGGAAACATCTAAGCATTAAGCAGCAAATATTTATTTATTTTTAAGTTAAGGCAGAAGTATGTATCATTATAACACTACCATGAAAAAGACTCTGAAATAATGAATATAACCGATTTACAAAGTCAGAAGAGTCTGACTTTTTGAAGAAAATCAGCAGTACAGGAACGGTAACACAGAAAGAAGTCTGTTCCCGCCAGCTGAACTCCGTCTTCAGCTTCAGTGAGACTTTAATTAGAAAAATATTAACACTAAAAATATCAGTAAGTGTAATAATAACTCTATTTTATAAATCTTACTGTAAGCAATGTGCTAAAAAAGATTTGAGCAGGGTCAAAGGAAATTAGTTAATTAGTAAAATGAACAAAATTAATTCTACACTTCAATTTTTTCAATTTTAAGTTATAACATTTAAAGTTTTAAATGATAAAGAGAAATCTTAGATGGTAAAATTCAAATTTTTTCTCTAATCTTTCAAGTGTTTTTGGGTTAGAAATTTGTCATGACTGATATCAAATTATGTCTATTTTTGAAAGCAGAGAAACAGAAGCATAAGCAAGGCCTGTCCAGCACTTCTGAGCTGTCAAATAAAAGACAACAAATGTCGTCATTTCATAACAAAACAGTTTTTTGTCATTTCCAGTACCTGTTACATTCAGAAGAAAATTGCTTTCCTTATTTCCTTATTCTAAAACTGCAAGAAAGATCTGCAGATTGTCAGCAAAATCATTGCATAAAAAGTGCACCAAGATACATGTGATTATAACCTTCACAAACAGCATTATAACTTTTCCTTTAATTTTACGCTACCCATTTGTACAGATACACTACTGAAGTTTTATGAGGAGCTATCTGAACTGCAGCTGTCTAAAAAAATTAAGCTTAAGGCCACTTGGAACTAGGATTGTACATTTCAACATCCAGACTATTTAGATAAGTTTCTACCTCCAACTTTAAAAACAGACTCAGATTTGCTAATTTGATGTTCTATGTTGAGAAAAAACGTCTACAAACTCCACTTGTATTTGATACTTTTCAATATCTGAAAATTAGGAATACCTTCCTAATTATAAAAACAAGACACATAGCTACATAAACCCATTACTGCTCTGCTAAATTAAATTACTACAAAGGACATCAACTACCGTTTTCATTCATGAGCAATAAGAATTTTTGCTCATATTCCACTTCTCTTCCTGCAGATCGAGCAGAAATTATTTCCCACAACTATTCAGTAGTTGCAGTTAATAGATGTTACTTATGTCAGATAGTAAATCCTTTAAAATGCTATCGACAATGCAATCATTGTTAACTGGAGAACAGGCAGGAAAGGAAAAAGAATAGAAAAACACCCACCTCCATCTAAGAATAAACTACTACTCATGAACAGGCAATGGCATTGAATACTATTAATGCAATACAATTCTATAAAAGCCAGATTTTCATCCAAAAACAAGATATATTACCTTTGACAGAAGAGAAATATGAATCTTCTTCAAGACATTGTCCATTTCACGAAGTTTTGGTCCCACTAGTGGGCTGTTTGGCCCAGTCATATGTCCAATATGGTCCAATCCGAGGTAATGTAATATTAAGAGATCCCAGTCTTCTCTCTTCAACACTCTATCCAAATGTCTAGTAACATTATCATCAACCTCAGAAACAAAAGGAAAACAAATAATAATTTCCCTTTTGTAAAAAGCATAGAATATTTCCCTTCTGCATAAAGCATAAAAAGATTATTTTGTACTGCTCATGAAAGTTCTCTAAAAGATAACGAGGATTAGTCATTCACAAAGTTAAAAGAAAAAAAAAATCAGATTGATCACTTCATTGCTAGGTAAAGACTACCTTAAAAAAAAAAAAAAAAAAGATTCTTCACCCCATTTCAATCCCTCTTGTTTGTCAAAGACCAGATTACATAAAGCAGAGAATACAGAACTGACAAGCTTTCACAGACACTTCTGAAAACTCTTTCAAAACATTTTTAATCACTTTCACCTTTCACACCTCTGATTTATCGCTTCTGAGAAGCAGGTACAGGGAACAGCCTTTCTTTGGAGCTAGGAAATACAGAAGAGAAAAACAGTGCTGACAAAAAAAAAAAAAACTGTCTGCATAGCAATAATTAAATATTTAAAAAAATTCTGTTTGGTGTCTATCCCAAGTTCTCCTGTCTAAGTTAAAAATTCATTTTAGTTGCATGCAATTCCCCTGAGCATTAAAAACACTTAAACATTGCATCTGCAACATCAGATCTAGCAACACATTTGCTTCATTTCACTCTGCAAGCTTTGAATCTTCCACAAGGCTTATTAAGACAACCAATTAGAAGTATTTTTCATTCACAATAGGCCTATCTAACTTCCTTAAACATGAAAAAGTATATATGGCAGTAGCATTGTGTTAGTGGCACGAGATTTCACAAATCAGTTTCAAAACATGAGTTAGAACTGCTAGCCCATTTACTCTTTGAGTATTCTCAGAAAAAGAATTTTCACAATTTGTTTTGTTTACTGTTTATGTTCCATCTTTTCCAAAACATTGCAACACTGCTCACCTTAAACCTAAAAAAGCAATACTGTAGAAAATATGCCTCCAGGAGAAGAAGACAATCTATTAGCAGGCCTTTTAAAGATGGCCTGTTCTACAAATGCACTAGGAAACCAGAACCATGGATAGTGACATTTTTAAACACGGTAGGTAACGCATCACCCATTACTGTATGACCCAAACACTTCCAATGCCCTGTGCATGAAGAATTGAAGTCTTTAGTTCAAGACTGTCAATACTGAAAAGACACAATTCAATTTCTATTTATTTGCCAGGTTAGTGTTTCAAAACAAGGATAGTCTCATTCTTCCATTTTCCGAAGTTGTCACTACGTGTTTGTACACACATTATTTAACTTGAGATTATAAAAAGCCTCTCACCTCTGTAAAATCTGACACAAAAAAGGACGTTGTTCCATCATATTCCACAAAATGCTTTGGAAACAATTTTACCCAAGTATCATCACCATAAAAGATTATTCTTTTCCCAGCTGCTTTTGCCTGCCATATTAGATTGTCACTCATTAGAGCTGGAGAGTTGAGGTTCACAACAACATCAATGAAACCAGGAATGCTACCCGTCATCAAAGCCTACATAAAACAAGAGATGTATTAACAGAAACTGAAAAGTTTACAGTACCCAAAATAAAATATTAGTGTTAGAGAAAATAATGAAGCAGAGAGGAAAGAGATTACTGTATGTAGTCATTGAAACTATAGGGCAAAAGAACATATGAGCTACCATGCCACATCATACCAACTGTCACAATATGATGCCAAGAATTGGCAAATGGCATCAGGAATACTACCTGCTTAGCAGGAAATTAAAAATTACATTTTCTAATCAGTGGGAAACAAAACCACTCTGTATCCCAGTTGAAATTTCCTTCATTTAATGGCTCAATAAATTACCAGTAAGACTGTGTAGATGGCTTAAGTAAATTAAACTAACACAAAACTAACAATGGTAGAATGCTCATAACAGAAATAAGAAACTTCTGGAAAAAAATGAAGTCCACCTATGAAAAGCTACCAGACTGTGTTCTCCTCCGTCTCTTTCTGGCCTTGCTATTCAGATCCATTACTAACAGGATGACTAAATATTTACAGACAAAACTCAAATTTTAATTATGTTGAGGTTGGAACAACATAAATTTACATACAACTAGACTTCCCATCAGAAGTTCCCATCAGAACAGAGTGAGAAACACCAACAAAAACGCTCTTGCAAAGAAGACAATAGGAAAATTTGCTAGCCATGTGGCCGCCTTCCCAAGATTACAAATGAAAAGACTGCGCCCACCATCTAAGCTGGCACCAGGGCCATAACTGTCCTCAACTGATTCTCACAGAGCTTTCTACCGCTGAGCTATAAAGTAAAGGAACAAAACAAGGCAAAGTGCCGTAAGTGAAAGCTACCACCACTCACTTATCCTCTCTACTTTCTTTGCAGCCCGAAATTTTCTGCAGGAAGCACATTTGGGTCAAGGCAAATAACAATCATATCACATGCATTACTGCAACAAAGTAAGCTCCAGCTACAGATTAACAGTAATATCACAAAACCTCTTTACACCAATTCTTAGCAAATGAAACAAACCAATCTTTCCAGTTTTCTTCAATGAGGCAACCCTAAAGGGAAACTTACCTTAATTCGAGGCATAGTCACAGTGGGTGGCTTTGCTTCAGCAATGAAACTGTAGGATGTCCCTTTTTCAATAACTTGTGTAGTGTAAGGCATGAACTGTTTACCTTTGGATCCAAAGACAAAATCATCTCTCAAAGCATCTATCAGGACAATGACAACTTTTTTGAAAAGTGGTGGTGGAATTTTGGTCCAGTTGGAAACTATTCCTAAAGCACAACAACAAGAAGAATGTATTTTAAGTCATCAAAAATTTTAACATTTGCTAGACATAAGGACAGCTGCACCACAGAAATGTGTGCCTCAAAGTTGTTTTATTAACTTTACATTCCAAAGCAAGAAGTTGCAAAGAATGGCAAATATTAGACCTAATCTGAGGAAGTTGAGTTTTCAGGTCATCCACCACAAGAATGACACAAATTCAGTAGTTAGGAAGAAAAACACAGAAGAATGAATGCAATGCACTATGAAAAATGGTAAGAATTGAGGAAAAAACTCCATAACAAAAAGTTCAAAGGGATAGAAAGGAACAGTTTCTAATTTCTCTGGTTAAGTTAACTAGACTGAACTATATATATCCAATTTACAGTTACTGTAGGAAAAAAAAAAATACTGCACTGACCTGTGCTAATATCCAGGCCTGCATAACAGAACATAATTCAAGCAGTGCCTCTCAATCAAATCTCACCATCAGAGAGCAGGAGTAACAAAGAAATAAACAGAACTTCATTGACATTGGAAGTGAAAAGATTTGTACACACTCACATCCTTCTGAGTTGAAGTTTGCATGCTAGGATAGTTAGGTAACAGCAGCTGTTGGGCCAAAATCCAATTCCAGAATACCCTGAAAAAACTAGTTTGTGCTCAGAGAGCACAGCACAGCCATGCCTCCAGCAATGGCCCATGACACGCCTTCAAGCCCACCTCTTTTCTTCTTTTGCATTCAGCTTAGTCATACAGCAACATTTCCTTTTTACAGCAGAAGGCTTGGGCCAAACCTCTACAGGCCTCATGTGTCTACCAAGAGACAAAAGAGGAGTACAGAGATAAAAGCAGAGTGGATCCCATTCACAGATGACTTCCTAGACAACACAGCGGTTGATCAGTAATATGCATTACATAAAGTTACAGCTTCCGTGTTCTTTTAGAGTAAAATGCGTTTCTGATTAAGTGGTTGATAAGCTGGGAAGACCACAGATAGTTCTGTGTCTAAGAATTTAAAAATAAGCTCAGAAACTGTATTTTAGGTGCATGCCTAAGCATCACTACATTGACATTCAGGAACTCACTAGCGGTACTGATTTTTCCAGGTAAAGAAATTAAAGACGGGCACAGCAGAGGAGAGAGGGAAACTTCAACAACAAAAAAGTAAATCCCAGTCACTTTGACAAAAAATAAAACGTCGTTTCTGAATGACTTGAATTACTAAATTGGCAGGCTTGCTCTGGCATTCATGCATTTCACATAGGTAAAAACAAGAAGGCAGAACTGGATGCACTGTGCCTTTAAGTTTCTCTCATAACTGACTTTCCCCCACTTATCTAGGGAAGGAAAACTTGCTGAATACCATGTGCACCTCTTAGGATGTGGCATGCTTATTTATGTCTGCTACAGTTCTTTATAAAAGTTACTTTACGTGAAAGGGAATGTTTGTAAGCAGTGAACAAAACAGAAGGTTCTACCACAAACTTTTTAAAAAGAGATTAAGACTGGAGGCAGTCAGATTTCAAGGAATAAGGAGCTAGCAAAGACCAGAGTCAGGCTTCTGAACTTCATGCAAACAAACCTCAGACTGGTTAAGGAATTACCAGATGGGATCTGCTGGGAAACTCTCCTTAGGGACATAGGAATGGAACAGAGCTGGTAGTTCTTTGAGGACACCTTTCCAACAGCACAAGAGCTATCCATGTCTCAGCAGAGAAAATAAGGCAGAGGAAGCAGGAAATTGGCATGGCTGAGCAAGGACTGCTGGTCAAATTGAAGATAAAAAATGATATGTACAGACAGTGGAAGCTGGAATGGGTGGCCTGAGAAGAAAAGATCAGGGCCATCCAGACATGCAGAGATGAGATCAGGAAAGCCGAAGTGCAAGTGGAAATAAACTTGGGGAAGGATGTGAAAAATAACAAAAGGATTCTATAGGTATATTGGTCAGAAGAGACAGACCTCCCCTCTCCAATAAATGAGAAGGGAGAAATTTCAACAAGACATGGAAAAGGCTGAGGTACTCAACTAGCTCTTAACCTCAGTCTTCACTGGCAGACAGGCTTCCCATTACTCTCACATGCCTGAGCCTCTAAGAAGAGACTGAGGGAGCAAAATCCCTCCCACTGTAAGAAAAGAGCAAGTCTGTGACAACCTGATGAGATTGAATGCGAACAAGTCTATGGGGCCTGATGACATGCATCTCAGAGTACTAAAAGAAGTGCACAGTGAAGTTGCCAAGTCACTCATCACCCTAATAGAAAAGCCATGACTGTCAGGTGAAGCCCTCAGTGACTAGAAAAAGAGAAACATCACTCCCATTTTTAAGAAAAGGAGAAAGGAAGATCTGGGGAAATACAGGCTGGCAAGCCTCACCTCTGTGCCTGGGAAGATCATGGAGCAGGTCCTCTTGGGAGAGATGTTAAGGCACACGTGAGACCAGGAGGTTATGAGACACCCAACACCACTTCAACAAGGGCAGATCATACCTGACCAATCTAGTGGCCTTCTACAATGGAATGACAGCAACTGACATAATTTACTCGGACCTGTGTAAGGCCTCTTACATACTCCCCCATCACATTGTTAACTCTGTATTGTAAAGCTATGGATTTGAAGGGACAGTATCAGTGGATAAAGAATTGGATGGCTGCAGTCAGATGGTTGTGGTAAATAGCTCTATGTCCACGTGTAGGTTGATCACAGGAGGTGTTGTCTTCCAGGGGTCTGTCACTCTTCAACATCTTTCACTAATGACATTGATGGAGTTGCTGGAGCAGGAACAGGTGAGGCCATGAGGCTGATGCTAAGGCATCTGTCTTTTAAAGAAAGGTTGAGGCAGTTGAGATTGTTTAGCATGGAGAAGAGAAGGTTGTGTAGAGACCTCAGTGTGGCCTTCTGGTACTTAAAGAGAGCTTATAAGCAAGAGCGGGATGGACTTTTTATATGGTCTGATGGGGATAGGATATGGGGGAGTGGCTTTAAACAAAAAGAGGGGAGATCTGGGTTACACATTAGGAGGAAATTCTTTACTCAGAGAGCAGTGAAGCACTGGCACAGCTGCCTAGAGGAGCTGTGAGTGCTCAAAACCGGCAGGCATTCAAGGCCAGGTTGAGCAGGGCCTTGGGCAGCTTGGTCTGGTGGGGGGCAGCCCTGCCTATGGCAGGGGGATCAGAATTAAAGGATCTTTAAGATCCTTTTCAATCTACACCATTCTTTGATTCTATGATTGTCTAACACAGGTTAGGAAAGCAATGCAATGGCTTTAAGTGCTTATTAGTGAGACCAAGAGATCACTCTGCACTCAAGCTCTAACACAAGAACTCCAGAGAGGAAATAACCATTCCCATCACTGTATTTTTTTTTAGGATTACAAACACATCTAAATTTAACCTAAGAGTTTGTAGAGATGTCTGCACACATTTATACTCTCCCCAGGTCAAACCAGACTTTTCAAAGCCCAATTGTCTGGTCCCTCTTCCCTCCCCAGCATCTACAGCTAACGTTCACATGGGAATACAAAGTTTCACTCATACTTAAACCCGATATTGAGATCTCTATAGCACAACCTATCAGACATCCCTGACACTTTAGGTAATCTCCAGCTAAATACTTAACTGCAGTTTAGCAGCCTCAGCTTAAGCCTGTAAGATTAGAGCTTTACAGCGCTCCTGCTCCACTAATGTTGTGATGCCGCACTCTGAATTAGGCAAACGTCTCTTCCACCCACTGCCTCTACAAAGTCAGTGAGCCTGTCCCAAGGCTCTGCCTTTGTATAACTCAGAAATAGCAATGACAGGAGGCAAAAAGCAGTGGGTCTCAATAGGGCCGCCACAACCTTGCTCCAGCAGACAGATGTCCTACCAAGCAGCAGACACATGCCCTACCAGTCACCTCGCCTGGCCGAAACACAGCTCAGTGCAGCCGTTCCCTGGAGGTCAGGGGTTCACCATCACCATCCACAGTCGATGATTAAGGCTCCTCGCAAGCAGAAACTGCAGACAGCGACCAACCCTACACCTACAGAACTACCTCTGTTCTAAGCTACTTCGGAAGCAGGCTCTGAAACACGACAGCGCCTCGGAACGGCACTGCAAAGCACAGAAGCCCTCGCACACCGGAGAGCACCGTGAAACCGCGGACCAACCCAGCCTCCTACCTGGGCCGGGCGGGGCCGGCTCGGCGGGAGGCTCTGCGCGTGCCTCCCCGCGCGGCAGGGACCGGACGGGCAGCGGGAAGAAGCCGCGGAGGAACAGCGCGACCCCCAGCGCCTCGGCCAACAGGCAGCCGGCGGCCAAGGCCCCCGAGCGCAGCCGCAACCGCATCCTCCCCGCTCTCCGGCCTGCGCCCCCTCCGCTCCCGGCGTCCTCCGCCCCGCCCCCCCTTCGGCCAATCAGCAACTACCGCACCTGCCCGCCCGGCCCTCCTATTGGCCAGCAGCCAGCGGCTCTCCAGCCCCCAGCCGGAAGTGGAGCCCCGCACGGGAGAGGGCGGAATGTCCCAGCAGCCTCCGCGCCGCGGGCCCGGGAGGCGGTGCGGTGTTCTGGCTGTGACGGGGCTGGTCTGAAAGCAGTGGTTTAGAGCATTGCGGGGAGATTTTGCACTAAGCTGCACCAAAAGGCATCAGGCAGAGCAGGAAGGGAACTTTGAAGTCAGTTTGAATGTGTTGGGCGAGTGGAATTTTCTTTTGTCTTCTTAATACCATCGTGTAGGATTGTGTAGATGAAGGAAGATGAATGAGAAGGAAAAAAGGCTCTAAAAGTTAATTTTCTGGAAGTGGAAGTGAAGCTGTTGTGCAGAGATGAACTGATGGTATGCTCACTGTGCTCCTTGATTCAGAGGGGCAGCCACAGAGGTCAATACTTAAAGAGATATTACTGCTTCTCTGCCTGTCGAGTTTCTGTGTACTGCACGTTTTTGCTAGAAAGATATTGGAAATCTAGAGAGGATCTGCAAGGCTTTCAGCAAGTAGGAAGGGGCAAAACGAAACATGGGTTTTACTCCAGGCTAGTGTGTGTATGCTTCAAGTATGCATCAAGTGTCTATAGATCTCACTTCCAAAGTCATATTATTTGCATGTCTAAAAAAGGTGTATTTTTTACTTTCAGTGAATATTTCCTGCTGTCTTCTAAATCTTGAACCCAAGTGGGACTGTTCAAGCAGAAAATTAGAAAGGTTAATTCTCTAGCAAATAAAAGGCACACCAATGTAGGCTGTGTTTATAACACAGAGCAGCAGCTAAGAAATGTCATTATTTTTATTTCCTTAGCAATAATTCAGCTTTTTCCATTTTAAGAGGAAAGCAGGAATTCCACAAACACTGAATATTTCCATGGTTCATACCTTCTGATTCTTACATGAGATTAGCCATTTCTGTGTTCATTCAAAGGACTTTCTCCACAGATAAGGATGCACTAACTGGCATATGTTACACTCACCAGCACCAACCTCTAAGCATGTTGAAATCTCACCGCTTTTTTCCCTAGAACCTTTTGGTCTTCTTTTACAGCAACGTCTTTTTAAGTTCAACGGTTTATGGGCTGGTCCAGCCCAGTTCCGTGACCAGCAGGGCGGAGGGATCTGCGGATCCGCGCCTCTGGGAAAGGGGAAGCAGGGGACCCCAAAATACTTGAAAACAACAGCACTGATCTGAGGTGGAACAAATGATTTTACTAAATATAGTATTAGTAAAATACAATGGGAGAGAGAGAGAGAGAGAGTCTGTTTGAATTGTATAGACCTCACCACAATGCTGGGGTGAGAAGCGCAGTCCAGTTGGTGACTGAAGTACAGACGGCGAAGCGCAGATGGCGAAGCGCAGACAGCAAAGAGCAGGCGAAGAAGAAGGATCAGGTGACCTTGCTTGGAGTTATATCCCCTTGCTGACCGCAAAGTCTCCTGGGGAAATGTAGTTCTTCTCCGACGGACGAACATTCAGCAGATATCAAACCCCACCCCCAGTGCATTACATGATGTTATGGTGTGGAATACTGATGACCAAAAATCATAAAACCATGACAGTTATTGTGTTCCACTGCAGTCACAAAATATCTAGAAAGAAATCTGAGTGCAGCACAGGACTTTAGGTGTGGCTGAGTAATTGTCTGTGAGTTATGAGTCTATTGTAGTTTGATGTACTCACATTCACTGCTGTGCATTTCAAGTTTGTTCATTACAAACCTTTGGGCATCACCTCTTCTGTCATGCATAACTGGTTTATATCCTGTATCAGTTGCTCATCTTGTGCAACCACAGATAAAATGCTTGGGTGCTCCCCAACTTGTAAGCACAGGAACAGCATTGTGTTCTTCAATTTTCCTGAAGTGTCCTGACTAATTGAAATAGACAATGGAAGTATGTCTATTTCCTTATTTCTTTTGCTGCTAATTCTTTCCCTTCCTATGTATCACCTTTTGCATAAGGAAAATCAATAAAGCCCAATTATTTATTTTATTCTAGTTTCAAAACACAGCCACAGTTTACACAGTTTCTTCTTTCCCCTTGTCTAATGTAGCATTATTCTGAATTATTCCCATGCAGTACTAATCTCAGATCTCTTCACCTGCTGCTGTGTTAACGACTTCCGGAGATCTGCAGTTTATCAGCTCTTTGAACTGCCCCAGGAGTACTCCCACTCTGGCCTTAATTTAACTGGATCCCACATGTGTATGTATGTATCTGTGCTTATAAGTGTATTTGTGTAAAACCTGTATCTTTTTACCAAACTTGACAAGGTCAGATGTGTCAGCTACTCATGCCAGTGGTTTAAACAAACACTCCTTTTTTTTTTCCTAAACAGAGTGATCATTCTTAATCTTGTCCCTAATGTATTCAATACTGCATTGGGAGCAAACAGGAGGACCAGAAACGAGGTCAGTGTAAATAAAATCCACCTTTTTAACGTACAGAATGAGTGTCATGTTTCAGTTAAGTGAAGCTCTATAAAGACCCAGGATTTTTAAAGATGAGCTGATGCTCTGAGAGTGCTGCCATGCACTTAGAAATCTAGAAGGACACACAGTAATTTTCTCTCCTATCTTATTTCTCTATTTGTCAGTACCTGGCAATTTGAATGTATGTCAGGTCTCTGCTGGCTTAAGCTGTGGCAAAACATCAGAAGAAGTTATCAAAGACTGTCCACTGAAGTGTGAATCTTCCTCCTCCATGCTGGTGCTCTACAAAGTCTCCAGAGGTATGCAGATGCTGAGGTGAAAGACAATGCAGAAGCAATGTCATTTTAAACCTCGTTTCTTAGATCAGACAGAATGGAAAATTTCTGCACACACAAGAGAATTGGACAGCAAATAATTATTCAAAAATAATTCATAGCTTTAATTGTACTGAGTAATTGATTGTCCATCTTTACACACACACACATAAAAAGCACAAACGAAGAAGATAACTCCAGAACACCCCTGAGGTGGTAAGCTATAGGAAGTCAAAGCGTGTTTTATTTCTGCAGGCTGCAGACTTACTCTCTACTGCAAAATGAAATTCTCTGCTTTCAAAGAGGAAGTAAAGCTGCAGAGAAAGGACTAATTGAAGAAAGAAGGTGCTCATTAGTTGCCCCCAGAGCCCTGCACTCAAAGCTTACATTGCTTAGTAGCAGTATTTCTATCCCTCTTTATCTACACAGGGTTGTACAGATAAGTAGCAGTCCTCCCTGCCTAAGAAAGCCCCAACCTTAGGATTGCATTTGTGCTCCCAAAAAGGAGTTCCTCTGAGAGATCCAAGCACAAGATAGGATTGCTCTGCCTGATTCCCACATGTGCTGCTGGTTAGAACTGATCTCAGGGTGCTCTGAGTCAGTTTTAGTTTTCCACTGAGTGTAAATGGACTTCACATAAAACAGAAATGGAAAGGAAGAAGCCCCTTGAGGAAAATTTCCAAGGCTTCTTGGGTGACTTGAATGATTCCGGTGGTATAAGTGCCTGAGCCCCCCAAAACCAAACATTAGCAGACTCCTCTGGCTACAGAGTAATGCCAGACATCTCACCTTTAGGACAGGCTCTGGCAGAAGGATCCAAATCAGAGAAGTGCTGAAAACATAATTTCACTTTTTGTGTGAAAACTGATTAACACCTTCCTTCCACTATTTTGTCCCCTCATTTTACTGCTTCTTTCTTAAATCTCGATCCTTTCCTGCTCCGCTTCCTGTAGTAAAAGCTTATACTCCCACCAAAAAAACCCTCTGTGGTGTAAGCCAGTGCCTTAGTAGGTGCAAGAGAGCCCACTAAGAGGTAGGAGTAACAGAGCATGATATGAACAACACAGGCAAAGCAGAAACAGCAACACTGCTTGCATATCATTCCCAGGGAACCCAAGGACTGCACCACTGCCCCCAGGGAAGAGGATTGCTCCTGCTCAGCTCAGTAAGACACTCTCCATGACACTAGTGTATTTATCTCCAGCATGCAGGTGTTGATTTTAACACCCTCCAACACTCACTGTTTGTCTAATGTGCCTAGGATTAGGTGAAATTTTCAGTTATTTTGTCCTTTTCCTACTGGGAAAATCCCTCACAGTCAGAAATCCTCTTTATTGTGGTACCAAAGTGAAAAAAAAAAAAATGACCAAAATTGATAGACAATTACAAATCTAAAGTATTAAATGTAATAAAATTCTTCCATGAAATAGGAATTAACTGAAATAACATTACTAGGTTTAAAAGACAAACAAACAAAAAAAAACCTAAGCCTTTTTTTTTCCTCTTTCGTCTTTTTTTGCCCCATGTAATTCCCCTCTCTGAGCCCAAGTCTTTGTTTAAAAAGGGAACCAGCTGCACATGCCTGGTGTTTAGTAACTGCCTTTGATTAACTTTAAGCCTGGATATTTATTAACAGTTAAACACCACACTCCTTATATTAAAAAATACCAATGTGTAATGTAACATATCTTGTTTTAGAAGCAAGACTCTTCTCTTACACCACTTACCGCAAATATGTATTTCCAGGAGGGAAGTCTTTATGCACTGCTTTTCACTGCTGGCAGGTAGCTTGCTGAACTAAGCTGGCATCAGGAAGCTACTCATCTTAACACATAGACACATTTGAGCCATTTAGATTAAAATGACTAAAGTAAGAAAGGCTAGCAGACATGAGTAGAGCAGGCTCTTTGCCTATTTGTGCTTTGTTTATCAAGTCTGACACAGAATAGCCAAACTGTCACCAAAGGAGAAGCCAAAAGAAGGGTCCTTGCTCACATCTGTCAGAGGTCAGGATATGTAATGAGTATTGTGGCATCAATACATTCTCAGAGA